TGAAAAAGAAGAAAAAAGAAGGAAAAAATCAATTTTCATTTCAAGTTGATCAAATAAAATTGCAATTTGAATGAAAACAAAAGTAAAATTGTTTTTTTACTCAAAATAGCAAACAATTGAACTTGAAATTGCAAATACAAAACAAGATGAAATGGTGAAAAATTAAAGGCTAAATAATTAATCAATGAGGAAAACATGAAAATTGATTGGAAAACAAACGGTAAATTGAATTAGAAGTTAAATCAGAAATCGAAATGAAAAATTGGATGAAAAATGGCAACAAAATTAACCTTTTACAGATGATGAGGATGATGAGCGATATTCCGGTTGCAAGATAATATCCGTTGTTGACAAGTTCACAGAATCACAGAAACACAGAATCAACAAATTAACAATGATAATATGAAGCGATCAAACAAAAAACTTAATCAACTTGATTGTTGAACACAATTAAAGGTGAAACAAAAAAAAGGTTGACATTAACTAGACTCGTTAAACATGAATGAGAATATCATGAAATATAAAAAAAAATGCATCAACAATCAAAATGAAATCAAAGTGTAAGTGACTGACTCACAAAACTCATCATTATCTTCATCCATAAAAGTTATCATCATCTAAATGATCACCAACTATTGGTCAAAAAGATTTACAGTCCACCTTAACTCCGCCTCAATACAAAAACCTATACAATCATCAATGGATGATGATGATAAGGTTGGAAGAAAAAAAAGGAAAGAAAGAAAGAAAGAAAGAGAATAAGAAGAAAAATGTTAAAAATAAATCGAAGAAAGGAAAGGTAAAGATGGACAAAGAGGGGCAATAAAAGTGGACAGTTGACCGGAAACAAAACTGTAAACAATTGCATTTATTCAAAGCTACTAAAGGTAAGCAATGATAAGATGAAGATAAAATTATAAGTCAAACTTTCATTTCGATCGCAAACTCATCTTTACGGTTAAGACTCAAAACTTTTAACCTAACAAGTTGCTCTCCCTGCATCAAATTTAATCCAAGCTAAGCCTTTTTCACGTTGAATTTTTTTCATTTTTTCACTTTCATTTTTACATTTTTCATCTTTATCATTGTCATTCCCTTGTCATCATCATGAGTGTAAAAATTTTCATGATTAACATCACTTTATCATTCTCATGATTAGGCCTTTCATTAGGTCTTTGGATGTTAGCCTTTCAACCTAGCGAGTCACTTTCACTGCATCAAATGAAGCAAACAGTTGGACCTTTTTTACGTAAAATTACTTTTCTCAATCAACTTCATCCTTTTCCTCTTCTTCATCATGTACATCTTTTTTTGCTATTGATTAATGTTTTTCAATGTTGAATGTAAAGGAAAATGATGAAAACTTGTAAATTGGTTATAAATTTTATCCACTTTTATTCACTAATCATGTTTCGTCCCTATTAGATGACCATTTATTTAAATTTACATACACAAACCATTTGATAAAAAGGAGTTTAGGTTCAATTTTGTGTGCACTTTTTGGCTCATCCACCTTTAATTTGAATTGAAAACAAAAATGGGAAACTTTTTTGTGCACTTTCTTTTTATCATCTCTCCATCATCACCAGGGTGATGATAATGATGAGTTGATTTGTTGCAAGTGAGTTAAGGTGTAAAAGAGTGTGATAATTTTAACCCATCAAACGTTTAACTTGTTTTAAAAGTTAAATTTGAACAAACATACATTTTAAAAAACATTGACTTTTTGTAGATAAATAATAATATTGCTTGGATATTATTCACTCCCAGATGAAGAGGATAACTTTAGTTTCTCTTTTTTTTTCTTCAACTCACTTTCTATCACAATGAAAGTTGAATAACAATTTTGGTCTTTCAATTCTCAATGGACATTTGAACATGGAATGGACATTAAGTCCATTTTTGACTTTAAAAAACCTTTAATCATGTTTATATTAGTCAAGTGTTTATATCAAGAAGAAGTGCAAAAAAAGAAGAAGAAATCTTTTCTTTCGTTTTTCTTCTTCTTCTTTCCCATCAAATAAAATAACATTGATATTCAACTAAAGATGATAAAATACTCTATTCCAATCCCTGTTTAAAATGTTGATAAAGTGTTGATAAAGTGTTAATAATAATCACTGTTAAGAGTCTGTTAAGAAGCAATGTTAGAGGAAGAAAAAGAAAAGCTGAAAAGATGAACTTTTATTCTGATCAACTAATATCTTGATCATTACAATAATCTTGATGGTAGAAGAAAAAACGATTAAAAAGGAAATCTTGAATTCATGGAAAGCGGAAATTTTCAAGTGGATAAAGTAGATTAACATGAAGGGAAAGTCGGTGAAAAATTATGATAAATATGATTCTGTGATAAACTTTTCTCATTTTCCAATTTTCCTTTGTTCATCTTCATCAGCATTTGAGACACACTTTTCAATGTTTCAGGTTGAACAATGGTTTTTGATCATGATAATGAGCATGAAAATTAGCGAATAAAAAATGATGAGAAAATCACTTTTTCTTGACCTTACTCAAGATGCAGAATCATTAATTATATCTGTCCATTTGTCTCCATCAGTCAGCATCATCTTTAATCACATCTTGAAATTGAAATGAAGAAGAAAAAAATGACAAAAATTGTTCTTTCTCTTTCATCTTCATTTTGATCTTCATTTTGAAAGGCAACTTGATTCCGCCATTTTTAATGTAAGTCTGTGTCTTTTTATTTATTTTGGCTTCTCATCGATTAAAAGGCAAAGAAGATGATTATGAAGATGAGAAGATGATGAAGGGTAAAAAATAAAGGGAAAGAGGTGAATGTCTTTAATTGAATTTAATGTCAACTTCTTTGTTATCCTATTTGAACATCTCACTCTTCATCTCATCCTACACCAGTCATCATCATTAGCATCATCCACAGTTAATTTCTCTTTCTTTTCATCCTCATCCTTTTCTCCTGCTCTCATTCACAGTTGCATGATATTTACTCTGTAATTCACTCTGTAAAAGCCTTTTGGGTTCTCATCATCTCTCTCTCTCATTTTTTTCACTTCATCTCAATGAACAAAAATATAAGAGAAAGCAAAAAATAATATATAAATGATACTCTTTGTCGTAAACAATCGACGCAAACATAATAATAATCATGATAATGATAATAATTGTAATATTCAAGCAAACTCCCTGTTATCATTTAGTTTGTTTTTTATGTTCAACTCTTTTTTTTCAACAGATAACTTTCATCCAATATCATTCAAACTCTTTTTTTTGTTCATCATTTTTTACTCTCTAATTTATTTCGATAATTTCAACTTTTAATATACCTCGACTTTTATCATTATCATTATTATTTCAACCCTTTTTTTTACTCAATGTGTATGTGCATGTTGGATGACGTTCATTTCAACTGAAAGACAAAAATGTCTGAACATTCATCTCTTTATGCTTTGTGCAATTATCGATTGTGATGTTCAATGTTGGCAAAAAAATGGAAAAGTTTATTTTATTAAATTAAACTTGATTAGCAAACTTTACGTTCAATTCAATTCTAACTTTACCAAAATAGTAAACTCATCAAATTATTCGGTGATTTGATGGTATGAGCGGACGAATCTTCATATTTACGATTATTTTGCATTATTATTGTGACAAGTTTAACATGATTTTTTTTCTGAAAAAAATCGAATGATTATCACTGATTTCATGGAAAAGCTTTTGCATTGCAAAAAGCTGAATAGCGTCAATCGGGTTGACTCAGGACATGATCATTTTCAGGCTAAATTAAAGACAAAAGATATTGACTTGAGTTGATTTGATCTCATTTATGGTTATAGATCAGAGTCACAGGTTGAATAAACTGAGTCTTTGAACTTTTTGAGTTACTTCAAAGGCACTCACAAACGATTGCAATGGACATTTCAATCGTTTCGGTTGAGCATTTCTAGCATATATTAGCACATGATATTGAGACTTGAGTATTTAGAAGGCTGAATATTAGACTGTCTTGGAGTATTTATGGATTTATCTAAATTTGAAATTTTCTAAACATTCTAATTGATGATCATTCAGATGGTTTGGGTGTATTTATCTTTCATTACATGACGAGCAAGAGTTACACCTTTTTTATGCTCACCTTGAGCAATTTTTTATTTAATAAACAATCATTATTTATCTTATTCTGATTGTTATTCATTTAGCAAATTCATTTTCTTTCAAATGTTACCAATGTTATTATTCACATCATATGATATTATCTGGAAAGTAGACGATAATCAAGACAAAAGTCAGGGTTTAAATGGAATCAATCTGAATCATTGGATACTCAGAAACTGGATAATCTGATATTATTTTTGATTTATTTTTCTTCTTCTTTTCTAATTCTTGAACAATTTGTCTAATCACTATTACCTTAACCATTTGAATGGTATCATTACCATTCAGTCTCATCATCATCATGTATTATTGCTCTTTACAATTGCTGTTAACCGTTGGAAAGTTATTTGGTTGAAGACGATGAAAAGGATTACAATTGAGAGATTGAAAGTAATATTAATTTAGTTGATGAGTTCAAGTCAGGCTATCATTATAATCATTGTAATTATCATGATGAAAATAGGAAAGGTAATTGAGATTACAAATTTTATAATGATTGCTATTTGTCACTCTATTCAGTTATTAATATTGGCTTTCTTCAACTGTAAAAGCTAATCAATTTTAACAATTATCACTTCAAAATAAAGTTAATTTATTGAATCAAATGTTTTCAAACTACCAATTTACCTTCAACATTGCATTGAGACTGTAAGAAAAGACTGAATCTGACAATCTTCACTCTTAAGATTGAGATTGGACAACTTTCAAAAGACAAAGCAAATGAACAGAATCAAGTAAATATTAAATATAATTCAATTTAAAAGATTGTGTTTGGTAATTAATTAGTTTAATCAGGTTTTAATTCAAAATGTTTGCCTTTTTAAATGACGCGCTCAATTTTTTAAGCCGCGTATTTGATGCTTTCCCTCCTTAACTCAATCACATGTTCGGTAGCTTTTGTTGCGAAGGGAATTAATTTAAGTAAATTTACATTAAATCATGATTATAATATCCAAGTTTCTTATGAATTGTCATCTTTGATCAATGCAGTCGAAATTGCTAATAGTTAATCATGAGGTAACCGCTTTAATGGTTCATGTATTATGCTTTTTTAATGTTAGACAAATGGACAATGGTAACTGTGATACAACGACTACGACAACGACTGTTTTAAGAACCTAAATTTGATGGTTCCTTGGCTTATTGGGTTCAAATTATGAACATTTGTTACTACAATTAAGTCTACAAAACAATGGAGGAAATACGTGATCGCTGGGCTTCGCAAATGCTTCTCACCAATCGTAAATGTAAGTAATATCTGCTAAAATTAGTTGGAGCCAAAGGAGGTCAAAATAAGTGAAAGTTGACCTCATTTTCTCCCGTCTTACTTTTCCTTCGACTTATTTGAACCTTTTTTTGACCTTTTTTTCACGTAGATCACCTTGGATTATTTATTTGGTCCCGTGTCCAATGATATTTTTCCCATAACAACACAACAAACGTTCACTTTGGAAGGCAAAAAACTTTCACTTTTTTTTACCACTTATCCCAACTTATTGTAAATCATCACAAAATAACATCAACATCACCATCACCATCACCGTCATCATCATCTTCCTACTTCCTGTGTTAACCATTGATTTCAATTGGATTGTAAAGTAAAGCTTAAAGAAGATGAAAGACATGGTACCAAAAAAGCAGCCAAAACCAATGAACAAATAAAGAAGGGAAGAAAAAGGACCAAGCGAAAGAAGAAAACCTATCCTATTTTTATTTTCGTTTTTGTTATTATAATTCTTACACTTACCTTTCCTTCCTTATTTGCCTTCTTCACCTTATTTATACCTTTCATCTTTTTGTTAATAATTCTATTTCTGCTTCTTTTCTTGACCTTATCGGTGTGCTTCTAGCTATGCTTATTCTTAGATCATATTCTGTAGGTCACTATGTATTATATCACCAGATGCTGACCTCGATGTGACACTATTATTATTAGCTGTGTACCTTTTGTACCAACGAAGATTAGGACCTTTTCTTGCGTTACATTTCATTATTCATTTTATTTTTATTATTGTTGTTTGTCTTATTTAACAGGACAATGATGATGATGATGTTAAAGATGGAAAGTGAAAGACCGATTCACCTTTAACTAACTCAATGCCAAATTGAAGAGACAATTGGGAAACAGGAGAAAGTTGTCATCATTTAAGCTTTATCGCCATCTTGTTCAAGTTCATCACATCCCTGGCTTTGACCCTCGTCAACAGCGTCAACCATTCATCCTCTAGATCGCCATTCTCATCATCACTATTTATCATCTTCCCATCAAAGCAATCATTTTATGATTTAATATCACCTTGTAATTGTTTCTTCTTGATCACCATATTTTACCATTACTTGCTGTCTTTTTACCATAGTTGTTAATCTTGAACAAGTTAATCAGTTTAATGTAACAATCAACTTGATCAACCAAAAGTGATACTTTAATTGGAAACAATACAAATGTCTATTGTTTTCCACTTTTGTTTATTAACTTAGACTACAAAAACTTGCAATGAAAAAAACAGTGATTTCATTTGTCAATCAAAAAGCCCAAATCAGATGAATGCACCTTTTTTCCAAGTTAATAAACAATTGATGAAATCTCACCTAACAATTAATTGAATCATTAGATAATCAGCAAGTTGTTGTAACAAAATAACAATAACAATAAAAGCACACATAGCTAACAAAATCATAATTAAATTTATATATAAATTTATCATGTTACCATAAACAACAATTTAACTGATCAACCAAGGTTAAAATCAGATTGGAACAATCAATCGTTATCAGCTAATTGTTAAATAAAGACAAACAATTAACCTAAACAAATAAGCAAATAACACTAGAAAAGTAAAGCTGACAAAAATTGCACTCAACCCGTAAAACCAGATTAACTGGAAACATTGGTTATTCAATTTGAAGCCAACGAGACAACAAAATTTGTTACATCAAAAAACACCCAAAAAATAACAATAGTAAGCCATCTAAATATCAACAAAGGCCAATTGTTGAAGCTTCAATTAACTTAATCAATTAATCAAGTTAACATGATAATAGAGTGAAAAGAAGATCAAAAAGAATGAGAATATTGAAAATAATAATTGAAATATACATTGAAGTACATTTATTAATTAGAAATTGAAAGAGTAAGAAAATGAAGAGAAACTGGACAAAAAATGATAATCAACATAAACAGTGAACCACTAATTACAATTACAATTTAATGTTACCTGATCATTGAGCCATTAGTTAACCTTTAATTAAGGTAAACTCACACACACACAATAATACAATTGAAAATAAATATAAATGGTAAGCATAAAATTCATTGATCCATTTCAATGCAAATTACAATGACAATAACAACAACATGAATTGTTAACCAAATTTGAAGGGTTCGTTGCTGGGCAATAACGTGACCATTAACTGATTATCATGTTAATAATCATTTGTTTTGTTTTGACCAAAGTTGATGTAAAAGATGACAGAATTAACTTTTAATCAAATTAAGTTCACCTGCAAAATGGGCAACAAATTAGCTCAAATGTTTCAATTAACTGGCCAACAATTGGACAGAAAAAATTGATGCAAATTTACCAGAAAAAAAGAGACACAAAAAAAGCATCAAATTTGGTCAATTTGATGAGAAAAATTGACTCATTTGATTGATTAATTTTTTCCTCCTTTCCTCAACTTGTTAATTGTTTACGGTTTGTTTTGTGTTTTGTTTTGTTTTTGTGTATCAATTGGAGTCACGAATAAATAATAATTATTATTTATAGTCTTTTCCTGATTCGATTCACTCACGTCGATAGGTTTTTAATTAATTTGACTAATTAACTTTTGTGAAGGTTCGCTTTTTTGTTACCTTGCCCAGTAAACTGACCACTGTTACACTTTAAATTGTTGAGTTAATTAGTAGCAAATTGTTAATCATTAATCAAGTTGGACTAGTAAAGGTTGTTGAAAAGACGAACAAGAAATTAACAGAAATTCAACTTTTCGTGATTTTCCTTTATTCTTCATTAGATGGCGCTCTTGGATCACTTTTACTTTGAGTTTCATTTTTATCTTGATTGTGATTAACAATTTGTTTTAGTTTACAGTTTAATTGTTAAGATAAATTAATTTTAGTGAATATTTAAATGAGTAATTAAGGCCTCTAAAGATAACCAGTCAATGTGGAATTTAATTGCTGATTAAATTGTAATTTACTTTGATTGACTTTGAGTCCTAATCATCGGTAAATTGTTGTCTTGATCAATAACAGTAGCTACAGATAATGGAAACAGAAGCTGAAATCAGATTTTGGACAATTTAGTGGGTGGAAAGATGATGATTAAGGTGATTAGTCTTTGTTATCCTCAATAATGATGAATATGAAAGTTGGCTCTTTTGTTGTTCCTTCAATTAAATGTTAAATTGTGATTCATTTATACAATCAAACAATTTTTTAATGATAAAGATTAAGTTAAGCTTTGTCTTTTATTGTTTCATTGGATGTTGCATGATAATGTTACTTTCCTCTCATCAATGGTTACAATTTAACTGTTTTATTTTATTGTCAATAATGTTATTAATAATCTAAATACAAAGTCAACAACAATAATCATCAGCAATTGCAATCAGAATTACTTTTGTTTCTCTCTTTTTTTTCTTCTTCTCTTGATGATTTTATTTTACCTGATTAAAGGTAAAACTGAATGCTAAGAATCTGATATATCTTTCAAGGTTGATAATCTTGCCTTTGAAACATTGATCATGCAATAGACTGTTGAGACAATTACAGACGTCTAATCATGTGCAATATGAGAAAGTTATTCTTGGTTAATTTGATTCTCTGTTAATTTGGTTAAAAGTACGACTCACAATTAACTGATTGACAACTTGTTAGACACATGAGATTGCAATTGAAATTATCCTTTCAACAGGGAAAATGGTACAACAATGTAAATTGTTGACAATAATCAAGATGACTGTTTACTGGTATTAACAGTTGAATAATCCTTTAACCTTTTCATAAGGTAATCCCTTCATTTGAAAAGTAAATCAAAACTGGACCATTAATCAACTAACACTTCAAGTATCATCATTTACACAATTGATAAATCATTCATCTTTATCATCATTTCATTCTATAGCAACCAATTTAGGTTCTTCCATGTAATATCTTGGATTGAAGACAAGGTTAACCATTTAGTAGCTTTAATCTTTCCCTTTTATTGGACTTTTTTGTTTTATTGTTATTGATTTGATTGACTATTGAATCAACAAAATAACCAAATCATTATCAATATAAACATTATCATTAAAAGTTAATATGGCCGACAATTAAGGCATTAAAGGTTTACATTTTTGAGATAAAATTGGGTTTCATCAAAAAACCAGATTCATAGAACCAGAGATTTTCATTTACTTTTAAGGTTAGATTCTGGTTTAGACTTGAATATTTTCATAATTAAACCTTGATTGTTTAGTTATATTAATGCTTTTGATCCGGTTTTGGGTTGAAGTATAAGTTAACCAGAAGAAACCCAAAAGTAAACAAAGTTATGAATATCAAGAGAGTTGCTGAATCAATTGTGTCTTTGATACAATCAACTTGTCAATCAATTGGAATCAATTTCAAGACAATTACTATTAAATAACAATAACAATAATTATAATATAAAAGAAAGATTAACAAAAAAAAGGTGTTTTGTTGATTGTTGATGAAAATGGCTAAACTGGTAAAGCACAAGGAAACAATATTAACATTTAATCTTCAACTAATGATAATAAAATAATAAAATAGACAAAAATTAATATCAACTTTTATCTGGAAAAATACAGAAACGTTATTATGGCAAGGAAATGTGTTAATCATTTTCTTGGCTTTGCTTAATTTGTTGATTTGTTGCTTGATTCAATTCAACAATTTGCTTCTCAATTAAAAAACATATTTTCAACTGTAAAAGTGAAACATTGAAAATTCATGTTTGGATTGTACTTTGCATTGAAACTGATTGCAAGTTCAAGTTCACATTTTGATTATTTTAAACTTTGCCTCTTCTTACGGCTTTGATTTGATTCATTTGGATTAATTAATTGGTTAATAGGAACTTCCTCTTGTTTGAGTTAATTCAGTTTGCCCTTTTGATTAACAATTGATTGATTGAGTTTGATACAACAACTGAAATGAACACAGTCAAAGGCATTATAATAGGAATAATGGTTTATAGTCATTGAAACTGGCCAAGGTAACAATGAATTGAATCTAATCAGAGATTATTATTGATGATTATTGCCAATTGTTAATCATTATTGTTTGTCTGATAATTATTACAAGTTAATAATTAGTAAAATGTGTGACACACTTTTAAAGACATTCACCTTAATCATTGTGTTACAATTAATCATCGAAAGATTCACCAGCAATTTACTCCAAAATTGGTAAACTTTCATTGTTCACTTCATCAACAATTGGATTAATAAATTAACTGATTTTCCTTGAAAAATTTTATTATTATTATTATTTATATCAACAAGGAAATTCCGTCAATCAATCAACATCATCACAACCATCATCATCATCATCATCGCCATAATCAACATCATTAGTATAAAATCATTTAATAGTTTACATTAAAAAACTGGCTATAAGGATATTTAACATGAAAAATTGGTTTGCTTTTTTAAACCAATTTCATTAACAATTGACTTGCAATTGAGTTTCAATTTTGTCAAGGATTCATCTGTTAATTAAACCAATTTAGTACTTAAATTAGTACTTAAATTGTAACACATTTAAACTTAAAAGTTGTCAATAGCAAGACCTGAAGCTCAAGTTAATCACAATGCAATCAACTTTTCCTACCGAATTAAACAGAAGCAGAAACTCCTGCTATTATTAACTTATCTCATTTTTTTGTTAATTAATAAACAGTGAAAGTTAATCAAAAATAATCATGATAATCAACAGTAGTTAATATTGCAAGATATTCATTGTGCTGAATTAAATATTAATGATATCCAATCAAATGTAGCACATTGTCAACAGTGGCTTGTCATTGGGATTATTTGTTATTTCATCACAACAATTAGATGGTTAATCAGGTAACAATTAAGCGAGTTTGTGAGTTGATCAGTTGTTGATTAAAGTGATGAGATATTCTGATTTAAACCTTTTTTTCCTTTCATTAATTAATCATTCAAGGGTTTAATTTAAGGGTGAAAAATGGTTAAATTGACATCAATTTTTGGGTTGAAAATTTTAGGTTTCAACCAGGATTTTGGTTCTACTTTTTGGGTTCACTTTGAGTTACCTTTGATCAATAATAAGCAATCAATTTGGGTCGTGTTTACAATTGATTGTTTACAATTTCCTGAGTTGATTTTTGATCATTTATATTGATTATTATTGTTTATCCAGGATGTTTGATCATTTTTAATGTTTAAACAATTAATTCACTTTCAACTATAATAATTACGTGTTGTAACTCCCAGTCAGCCTTGCTTTAACTTGGTAAAGCATAGAGTTGAGGTTCAATTTTTGATCAAATGTTTGCTTGGAAATGATCATCAAGACGATGATCATCATTAAAATGGGGCTGATTGAAAAAGATTTCAATTGTTCATCATGAAGAGGAGGTTTTCCTGATTCCCTTTGTTGTTGTTGATATCAAGTAAAGAAGACATAGAAATGTCAATTGTTATTCATATCTCTGCAGCTGAAAAAGGTTGATCAAAATGACGATTAAATGAACAAAAAGCAATACACAGAAAAGGCCTAATCTTGAGTAACTCTTGATGGGCAGAGAGGGACCTTCTAGGTTGGAGGATTCATGTGTTGTGACCTAACTACAGAGACTTTCATGTGTTTAACTTTGATTTATTCAAATCAGCAAATTGTTCATTTGACTGAACAATATTTATTCCTATAATTTCGTTATCAATATTTATAACTGCTACTGGATCAGTGAGTTACAATTTAATCGCTATTTACTGTTTTACAAATTTTATCAGATTCACAATTGTCTTTCAATTGTTTCAATCGCATTTTTGTTTTCAAGGATTTCAGCTTAAACTGATTAATTTATTATTAATCACTCCTCTAATAGCACACCTAGGAAAACAACTCTAACCTTAAATAATCAGTCAAATCGAGTTCATTTGTTCTCAATGGTTCATCTTTTGAATATAAAATTGAATTTGCGATCAAGACTAAACTGTCACCACATATTGAAATACAAATTTTTCATGTCAAATAACAAGAAGCAACTTTGATAAACCATTGTAATTTTGGGTAAATTGTTTATATTAACACGATTCACATCATCATTTCATCTTTCAATAAACAAAACATTAACATGAAGAGGAAGATAGGGAAAACAAATTCTGGTAAAGAGACCAGAAAAAGGCATGAATGGTTCATCATTATCTCTCATTCACAACAACCCTTGGTCTAGACTGAACACAGAAATGAAAATAAAGACGAAAGATGAAGATGGAGATGATGATCAAGATGATGTTGTTGTTAAAGATTGAATAAACAAACGTCATTTGGCCAACATAAACATTGAATTGTGATTAGTTTTTACAGCAACCTAATAATGAAACTGAATGTGTATTTAAATGATAATAATAATTAGCAAAATTGGCAAGGAAAGACTGCAATGCGAAACAATAAACAACAACAATAATCATTGCAACCAACAGTGAACCTTTCCACTATCAATTAAAGTTACTATTAACTGTTTACATGAGCTAGCTGTAAAGAGACACACAAAAATGGTTAAATCAATTTGTTAATCATTGGATTGAATGATGAGCATGGTTAAGGTGGAAATAACAAGTCAAGATTTACCTGTTTACCAGATAAAAACTACTTTTCTGTTAACAATTTACTTTAATAATAATGGTAATAATGATTACTGTGATAATAAAGAAGCATATTTAATATTAAACTTTACTATCAACTGTGTGAATTAGCAAGGTAACAACATTGTTGGATAGCAAGAAAAAAGTGTTCACTTTCCTTTCAATTTACCTCTTTGCTGTTATTTTTAATCTTTTTCAAGTTAAGGTAAAAATCAACAAGCAAATGATAATAACGGTTTGTTTATCAATAATAAACAGAGAAAAGACGAACGTAAAAATCAACAATTTGGATTCATAATCAGGTAAGATTAACATTATTAATATCCTTGAGAAGTTGGATAAAACGAGAAACAGAGAAATGTAAAGAGCTTGCAAAAAGCTTGCAATTAATAGTAAAAAAAAGCAAATGTCTCATCAATGCAATTAACATGATTATTGTGTGTTGATTGGTATTACAATCAGCATTACAATTAACAGAATAATCATGTTTCATGATGAAAGATTGATGAGATAAACTGGTGCAAAATTGATGATTGAATGAGAAAAGTTGAATTGATTTAAAAAACAAATGAAAACAAAAGTTAAAGGAAGAAGCTGATTGACTGCCGATTGGGAAATGTTTTAATTTAAAGTATAATAGTTAACTGATTGTTAGGGATGAAAATGGGATCAGATTGTTGCTGTGATTTGGGTTTGTTGTTGATGACAGGAGAAAGCGTAAAATACATATTTGTATTGAAAGTTATGAGGATAAAATAATGAGCCAAGTTACTTTCACTTTGCATCCTTGAATTGCCCTTGAATTTCATTTGTACCACGTATAAATTGTGAGTCTGTGAATCTCCTTGAGTGAGTTGATTGTGAAGATTGAACATTCTCAATCAACAAATTGTAATCAACAAACAATTTTCTCATATCAACAAGTTGAGAGGAAAAGGGAATCAACTTGTAACTGTTCAATTGCAGTCACTAAATGTATTCACTTTTTTTTCACAGGATAAATTCAATTCTTGTTACATCATTTCATCAACTTGCAAATTGTAACAATTTAACAAGAAACATTTTATATTTTTGTACTCAGGTTTGGGTTGTTAACTGGTTATGAGTTTTCTGGTTGAAAAGGATTCTGTGAAATTTGTTTATTCATTTTTGTTTCATAGCAATATCATGGTAAACATATTTCGCTATTTTCATCTTGCGTTTCTTGAAGGACATTCAGAGACGAGACAAACTGAGTTCATTCATGAAATATTCTGATTTTTGTTTCTTCTCGATTCTTGTCTCTAAGTTGAGGTTCAATTTTTATTCAATTTGCCTTTTTTCTATCCTTTTAATTCAATTAGTTGTCGCTTCTGTTTGAGTTGCTTATTGAATGGTAATAAGTTGCAACTATGAATCTTGTGTTATGTCTAGAGCTAACAATTTAAATTGACTTTAATTGTTAATAATGCAATTGATTTACAGAGTTGTTGGCGAGAAGTTTCAGTTTGCAGTTGACAAAAAAAATTGAAAGTCGCAAGGGTTAGACTGGAAAAGGAACAGGAATTGAGTGTTAGATTAGGTCAAATGAAAGTGATTGAGGTAACAATTGAGTTATCGTTGAGATGATCTGATGATGCAGTAATATAAGAACGAGAAGTTGACAAGGTAAGTTTAATTGTAATCAACTGATAAACAACTCTAATCAACGCCGGTTTACGGTTCAAGGTTAATAGTTGTTTTTTTATATTATTATTAGTATTATGTTTTATGCTTTTTTATATCCTATCAAGGACAATACAGCGACCAAGTACCTAGAGAGATGATGAAGATGATGATGATGGTGATGATGATGATGATGGGAATAGAAAGAGAAAGCTAACTGTGAGTGAGTCTTTTGTAATACAATGTAATTTTTGATTCCTCTTGTTGTTTGCTTGGCAAACATACATTTTAACAGGCAGACCAACATCGTCAATAAGTTTCTAAGCAACACCAACAATCAACAATCAACATCATCATTACAATTACATTTCTTTACCAAAATAGTGAGAGTAAAAGAGACAGAGAATAATCGACGACAGAAGAGAGACTTAGATAGAGAGTCAACAAACAAAAAAACAAATTATCATCACAATTTGTACACATCAACTTTGTTGTTTTTTAGGTTTACTTTTGTTATCAGCTTATTACTGAAAACCAATGAAAGTTTCAAAATAACACTGACAATAATGTTGATTAGCTTCTTCATGGTGTTATGTCTAGATATGATCATGATTGAAACATGAGTGAAAACAAGATTAACAACAACATTGGTCTAATATTGAAAATTTTTGCCAGCAACAAGGAAAAAAATATCATCCAAAACTCACCATTAAAGGATTGCGTTTTTTGTATCCAAATGTTGACAGTTTCTTAGTTATAACTTGAGTGTTGCCATAATTGTTGCCTTGATTGTTGTCTTGATTGTTGTCCTATCCAATTGTACTAATTAGTCCACAATTGTGATTGATTGAAAAATGGAATCAGGATTTTGACTAGAGTCATTTGTCATGAAACGTGTATGAAAACAACAAGAAAAAAAGATGAAGTAAAAGATGTTAATTATTTTATCCACATTCAACATACAAACACAATTAAATTTTGCTCCTTTTTTCAGGTCTCTGAGAATGAGTGAAAACAAAATGATGAAGATGATGATGATGAAGAGGAGGGAGTAAGTGAGTGATGCCTGGTTACCGTTGTTGACTGATTGCTGTTTGTTTGTTGTTTGCTGTTTACAAGTTAATAGTGTAGTTTAGTGTGGGTTTGCATAGATCAATGAAAAAGAGTGAGTGAGAGACAGAACGGAATATGTGTGATGCGGTTTGCTTTCTCTCTCTCTCTCTCTTTTCTGTCTTCATCTCCCTGATGATTGAAGGAGGGTGAAAATAGAGGGATTATCATAGAAAGAGAGAGAAAAGAGAGGAATAATTACGTAACTAGACAATTCTCCTTCGTTATCTTTCTCTCTCTCTCTCTCCTTTCCATTCTCTGTCTATTTATCAGTCTCTTCATTATCATTATCATCATCTTCAGCTTTCAGTTCATCATTGGGTTACATGTTATTTTTGTTTACTCTTTTTGTAGCCTCTTCGTCTTCTTGCTTTCCTGCTTTCCTCTGGCTTTATCCTACATGGACTCACTCCTTGTCTTGATCATCCAGATTTATCATCTCTGCTGACCTTGAACTTCCAGAGAACCCATTTTGTTGTTTTCTTCGATTCAGCTGTAAATAAATAAGAAGAAATCTAATTAAATCTTTGCTCTCTTCTTTAACTCATCGATTGTTGTTTATTTACTTCCATTACAAGCTGCATTTGGTTTGCAGTTTCTTGAATCCCTTCTTGTTGTTGTTGATGGCAACTTCATCTCTGTAGACAGCATTATAATCAGCAAATTCACTGACAATAACAACTTTAACATAATGATAAACAGGATGCTGGAGATATAAAATGATGAAGGGAAATAACTTCAGGGGAAAGTAACAAACATGAAAAGAGTAAACAAAAACAACTTTTACAACAGTTCCCATTGTGAGTGAGAGTAGTGCTTCCATCTAGTGGTTGTTATATTAAATCGTCAAATCAGAATGATAAGTTTGATATTTTGGGTGATAAATATGATTTATTTATTTTCTTAATGATACAAAATGATACTAAAATTTATAAAAATAAAACAAATAACAAATCAAGGACTGAAATCTTGTTATATTTTCAAGTATTTCGATACATTTCTCAATCTTATTGCACGGGTTTCCAGGGTCAGTTTGATCATTTAGTGAATACAAATTGCTTAAGTTATCACTAAAAAATGAACTTATAAAGCAAGTGGCAAAATTAACCTAAAATTTTTCCAAAGGATTTACCTTTGAAATAGCCTTTGAAATAAGGCATTACACTTAATTTAAACATTTTTGTTTTTTCACATTTGTTTTTGTTTCTTTTTTGCATAATTCCATAGGAGTTGCTGGCTCTTGAGTCAGGATTGGCATTTTCTGTTAAACCCAAATCCAATTGCTTTTTAAAGTTGCTTGTTAATTCAGAATTGAAATACAAATCCAAAAACAAAATGTTTACCAACAAAAGCTCAGCATTTCATTTTTTACGGTATTCAACGCTAAGACATCAGATATACCGATCGTCTGGCTCTCCTTAACTGGTCCGTAGATCATTTAAATCTCCTTACGATCATTACTTTTTAAAAGTTGAAATTGGGTTAACTCGTTTAGTCTTTGCAAAAACATCGAAGAAATCACTTAGGATTAAGGTTTTAGAGATTAGTTGGCCAAAATTTAATCCAATCAGCTGGGTCGTGTCTAATCTGGGTTTAAAAGTCAAGGATTACAAGCGTATTATAAATACGAATAATTTTCTTGCTGTTTGCAAATCTGTGGTCAAATGATACGCCAAATCTTTTAAACAAGTATCGTCCTAAGTTGAAGGTTTAGGAACTTTAGTTTGGCAGTAAATATTAAAAGATCTGACATCATGTTATTCCGATTTGATATGATAATTCACCAAAATTCAATGTCAACAAAGCGTAAGACCAATAGCAATCACAAAAAAGTAATCCTTCCATTTTAAACTTAAAGGCAATGTTCCACGCATTTGTTTGAAGGTGTCATGATGATGGAATGTTTGAACAGTTGACAAAGTCTAGAACCATTTTCCTTTGAACCAGGTATGATTAGAATTTATGTTTAATGGCTCATTTAACCTTATTGAGGACAATTTTTTACCATCACTTTTTGAGTCTCCACATTTAAGCGTTAAACACTTATAAACGTATGAATATGGTGAGAAGAAAAAAAACATCAAATTAAATTATTAAAAGAGACGTTAAAAAGACAAATTTATGAGAAAAAAAAGATGATTTTCAACTTGAACTGATTCGCGTAACCATCAATTGAACACTCAAGGGTAAAGCAACAGTGAACTTACATGTAATAATGAAACTGGAAAGAAGTCAACTTTAAATCATTGAATGTCTAGAATTTGTACTTCTTTATTACAAAGGTATTACTCGTGTTACGTTGTAATATCTTAATAATCATAATCATGATCAAATCAATCAGAAGTATGCAATTTTAGTCGATGTTTGTTGAATAAACTTTATCAATACTCAAGAAAATTTTATTTCAATTCTCAATCGTAAAAAACGTTCGTTGTTACAAAAAATGACACTAGATGGAGTAGTTTAAAATACCGTCGTCCAATCAGAGATGTTTAGAAACAGTTGTAATAATACAAGTTGTTGAAGTTGACTGTTGATATTGTAGTGTCTTAATAAATTGAAAACTAATTAGTATCAAATTAATTTTTATTATACTCTTGTGGTTAAGCGATGGCTGCCGCTGGAGACGATGTTGACTTTTCAAAATTACCGTTACAAGAGAGACTTGAACACAAGGTATGTTTCCATGATATTTATTTTATTATTTTTCTCTGCATCCATTTATCACCATCAATCAAAAACTCTTCTCATCCCTTTCTTCATTCATGGTTTCTGTCTGTCTTTCTCTGACTGTTTCTCGCATTCCATTATCCTTAAATTTCATTTTCCGTTTGTTTTACACCCTAGCTGATACCTTAAATTCTCTGTTTGCTCATTCTCATTAAAAACTAATGTTTGTCTCTATTGGTATTTTACCTCCCTTTATTCATTTTCTTTCACTTTTTCGTTAACCTCTTTGTCAAACTTTAGAATTGGAAAGCTCGAATAAGTGGTTATGAAGATTTAATTAAAGTTTTTGACGTTCAAGATGAAAAAAGTAACGAATTCACAAAATATTTATCCATCATTAAGAAAATTCCAGTTGACTCAAATGTTACAGCTCAAGAAAAAGGACTTTCAGTTGTATCTGTATTTTTGGAGAGAGCTTCACCCACCATAAGTGGTAGAATTGCATCTGATATCATCAATGGGTGTCTTGTCAAAGCACAACTGTCAGCACGAGCCAAAACGAAGGAATTGGTGCCTGAAATAATCCTCATGTATATAGAACTTGAAAAACATGAAATTGTTATCGAAGAGATTGTCAAAAGTCTGGATAATAAAACCCCCAAAGTCGTTGTTGGGTCTATATCTATTCTGAGAGAGGCCCTGAAACAATTTGGCCCAAAAGTTATTAAAATTACTGGATTAAGTAAAAATCTTCATGGTTTATTGGAGCACAAGGACAAACTTATTAGAGACGAGGCCAAACAGTTGACTATAGAGATGTATCGATGGTTAAAAGACTCTTTGAAGCCACAGCTTTCGAGCTTAAAGCCTGTACTTCTCAATGAACTTGAAGAAGAATTTGCTAAAATCAAAGATGAAAAGCCTCGACCTACCAGATGTTTTAGATCTGAACAAATTGTTGAAAATGTGGAAGAAGTGGAGAGTGGTGACACAGGAGATGGCGGAGAAGCTGAAAAAGTTCCTGACCCTGAAACAGACCCCTTTGATTTTTATGAACCCGTTGAAATTTTATCTAAAATTCCCGGTGATTTTTCTGAAAAAGTTGAAGCCAAAAAATGGGCTGAACGTAAAGAAGCTGTTGAAAGTTTTCTTCAACTGATTACCCCTCATCCAAAATTGTTGCCTGGTGATTATGGTGATGTTGTAAAAATATTGAAAAGGTTAATTGCCAAGGATAGTAATGTTGTTGTAGTTGGTGTTGCTGCTAAATGTTTAGCTGAATTAGCTGGTAAATTGAGAAAATCGTTTCACCCTTATGCTCATAGTTGTGTTCTTGTTGTACTTGAAAAGTTCAAAGAAAAGAAGCAAAATGTTGTTGTTCCTCTTCGTGAGGCTATTGATAACATCATGATCTCTTCAACAATGGAAGCCATTCTAGAAGATGTTATATCAGCTCTTGATAGCAAGAATCCACAAATAAGAACCGAAACGGCAAGCTTTATAAGCCGTTTTTGCGCCAACACCAATCCAGCCTCCTGGGGTAATAAAAAGATGTTAGTTCCATTGGTCGAGGCATTACTTAAAGGATTAAATTATAATGATCCAGCCGTTCGTGATGCATCAGCTGAAGCTTTGGGTACTATTATGAAAGTTATGAGTGAAAAATCAATGACTCCTTATCTAGGAGACGTTGACGCCCTTAAGATGGCCAAAATTAAAGAATATTTTGAGAAAGCAGAAGTTAAATATACTGCTCCGGCCGTAACCTCACAATCTCGCGGAGGAACCGCTAAAGTCGCCGTTCCTCGGTCAACACAATCAGCCAAATCAAGTGGTGGTCACCAACCTGCTGCTCCACCTACATCTTCATCCTCATCATCTAGCTTGAATGAAACTGGCGCTCCTTCTCTGAAGAAACCAGTTACCGGAATATCTAAAATTGGTGTAAGAAAAGTTGCCAAACCAGAAGCTGAGGTTAAACAACCGGCTAAAGGAACAACTAATTCAGCTACAAGCAAAACTTTACCTAAGATGAAATCTAAAACTGGTTTAACGTCCACTACTGGTACAAAAAATGATCCATCAGCCAGTGAGGGTTACTCTTTACCTCTCCTCCCCGTGAATAATTTGAAAGAGCAAAGACTGAATGATGAGAGAACTCTCAAAGTATTAAAGTGGAATTTCACGAGCCCAAGGGAAGAATTTTTCATTCAATTAAAAGAGCAAATGATTACAGCTAACTGGAATGAAAATCTGGTTACCAATTGTTTTCATTCAAATTTCAAAATGCATCTCAAAGCAGTTGAATCCCTTCATGACTTCCTGAATGAAGGAAATGTGGAGGCGACTATCAGCAATTCTGATATTATTCTTAAATGGATCGCATTACGATTCTTTGACACAAATCCAAGTGTCATCCTAAAATGTTTAGAGTATCTGATTAAATTATTCCAAGAGTTTCGATCAGTGGATCAAAAATTAAGTGAATCAGAAGGACAAAGTTTCATACCTTATCTTATCCAAAAATCTGGGGATCCCAAGGATGTTTTCAGACAAAAAGTTCATGAAATATTAGAGATAATCAAAGAAATATACCCACCGACAAAGCTCTTCACTTTCATTCTTAATGGTTTAGCGTCTAAAAATGCCCGACAACGATCAACATGTCTCGATGAATTGGGTTTCTTAATGAAAGATTATGATGATTTGGGTATTTGTCAACCAACACCACAACAAGCTATTAAAGAAATTGGCAAGCAAATTGGCGATAAAGATAGTGTTGTTAGAAATGCTGCTCTTAATTGTGCTGTTGTTGCTTATGAAAAGGGAGGTGAAAAAGTCCTCAAATGGTTAGGCGGATCAATTCCAGAGAAGGACATGGCCATGTTGGAAGAAAGAATAAAACGTAAAAGATTGATTCGAGCCAATTCTGAGAAAACTATCGTTAAACCGGAGGAGGAGAAACCTAAAGAAATCGCTCCTCCAAGTTTGATAAAGATGTCATCAACATCAGCTCTTAAATCTCAACCTAGCTTTGAAAGGCTACCAGCTAAAAATGAAATATTTAACCCACGAACCATGACCAAAACATCACCTCCTAACAGAATTCAAGAAGAAACACCATCCGAAAGAAACGGCAGTGCTTCGCAACCCTCAAGATTACCTCCATCATCTGCTATTAAAGCTTGGTTAATGAATCGAGATATAGAAGAAGATGATTGTGTTACTCCACCTCAAGATCCAAATGTGAGTCGCAGGAATTTTAATACTGGAACAATTACCAAACAAAAGCCTCCACCAATGTCACATGGTATGAATGCAATGGAAATTGAGTCAATGATGAGACGGGAAGAGATGAGAGAATACGAAGAATCACATCAAATATACCAAACCGAGCAAGTTCACCAAACACCTACTCACCACGCAGTTCAACGTTTTAGTCGATCTGGTACTTACGGTTTGAATAATGGCAGTGACGGTGAAGAAAGTGAGGGAAGTGTTGAACAATTGTTAAATATGCCTGATGAGTTACCTAAAAGATTTTCTGGAGGCAAACGAAACTCATTTAGTCCTCGATCTATTAAAACATCTCCTTCTGCCCAAGATCGTGGTGATCGCATTACAACTGTTATGGTTTCACGTCTTTCTTCAAGTGATATTAAGGTTGCCATAGATGCAGCTTCTCAAGTTAATCAGACATTAAATAAACCAGATCGTGCGGAGCAGTATCTTTCTGATAAAGTTGACCAAATTGCTTCATTATGCAATCTTCAACATAAATATATCATCCAGAAACACATTTATGATGAATCGGTGGATCAAATCGATATTGTCAATCTTTTAAAACTTCTAAATCTTTTACTCCAATCAATCTTTAATCATCCATCACTCAGGAGGCTGGTAACCAGGGATATTCTTAAAGAAATCATCTCTACCGTGATATGTTTACTGTTAGACGAACGAGTTGCAAGTCTCCCTGATGGTCCTTTGATCATTAAATCAACAAACCAATTAGCCAATGCCATAATCAGTTATTCCGATCCAACTAGCATGCTTTCTGCATTAATTAAATTGTTGCAAGAGTGCATCGTCGGAAGTTCCAATCCTCAAGAAAAATCTATTGAACTTGTTATGAAGTGTATCTGGAAAATGAGTCGTTTATTGGATCATTTTGTTAACGATCTTTGTATCGACAAAATACTTTTTGATATTCATTGTTTCTTTGAACAATTTCCTTCCGAGTTTTGGAAAAGTGCTGAACGAAATCGTAATGACATACCAATGAGAACTGTTAAAACAATTGTTTTCCTGATTATCAAACAATTCAGAGAAGACGTATTTCGCCATTTAACCATGATTCCAGATCCAGAGGAAACAGAACTTTATAGTTATATGCAAAAAGCATTACGACAAGTAAGAAGGGAAAGTGCATCATCAGATGCTAGTCACTCAACTAGTGTTTCCAAGAGATCTTCAGCTGGAGTAATCGGACACACCGGTGCTAATCCAACGTCTGATTTAACTGTCCAAGATGAAATCTTACTCAAATCAATAATTAATAAATTAGGTACCAATAACACCGATGAAGGTATCCTCATGTTAAATGAGTTTTGCAAATCACACCCACAATTCAATTTACAACAATATCTTAACAAAACATCATCTGAATTTTTCACAACCTTTGTTTTGAGCCGCCTTGCTGAGATAAAAGCCATACAATCACGGGAAAATGACTCCAATGGTTGTACCAAACTCGAAAATGTAAAGAATATTTGTGATCTCGATCAACACGAGCTTCGTAAAATGGTGCTCACATCAATGTCAAAGAGGCCTGATTGTGGTTCAATCAAACAAGAATTGGATGTTATGCTCTCTAACACTTTTAATTCCACTCAGGAAATATCTGCCCCATTAAAAGAAGATTGGATGGCATTTGTTGATCGAACAGTTTCCGTTTGTATCGAGGCATTCGAAGCATGTAATAGAAATGTTAAATAAGAACAAAATATTATAAAAATGTATCTGACAAATTTTAAATGAAGCAATTTTTATTGAAATAAAATTTGAAAAAAAATGATATTCAATTGTTTAATTCAACATCAATCTCTTGAATCTTTTGTGGTGTTTAAATATTTAATTATCTCAAAAGGAAAGTAAAATTAAGCTTCATGAATGCAGTTTTAAGCTTAAGTTAAAAAAATTATTGAAAAGCAACTTTGCTCAAACCGCTAAAACATTGTTGTTATGGTAATATTAAGGCGCTGGAAAAGTCATTTTGCTTGTCCGTTAAGCAAACTTTTTCATCTTAAATCATGTTGTCTCTAACTTTTCTGTGTCTCTTAATACTGTTGACATCATGTTTTTTCACGATGTCATCTGCGTCTTATGGGTCCATTTCATTGATGATGGACGAAGAAAGTGATTATAAAAGTTATCTTGACCATTCACCTAGAGATGTTTCCCTCTGGATCGATGAAAATCAAGTACGTGAATTTGCCGATGTTAGAAGTCAAATTTATGCTATAAGAGAGGGTAAATTATTACCTTACCTTTCAGATCCAAACTTTCAAAGTTATTTACCGACAATTCCTGCTGAAGTTATATCCATTAATTTTACTTGGATGTCAGGGAATCGAAAGACTTATCATTATTCATTTGAAGAGCTGAGATCATTCAACAGATCTATTTTATTTGATCCTACAGTCTCAATAAACAGAGAAGGAATTATCCCTGAAGAACCTGGTATTTTCAAAGTTACTATTCTTTGTTCTGGGACAGTTCCAGGTGTTTCTTCCTTTGCCATCTCTTTAGCCATTACAGATAACAATGGTAATAACCTAGAGGGAACGCCGATTCGGATGAGATTGAAAAAACAATGTCATGGTAAACAGTCCAAGGACTCTAACTGCCATGCCAAGTGTCTTAATGGGGGCTGGTGTAATATGGACTCAATTTGTGAGTGTCGACGTGGTTATTTGGGGAAATTTTGTGAATCCGCTCTCTGTTATCCAACTTGTTTGAATGGAGGAACGTGTATAGCGCCAGGAGTTTGCAATTGTACCAATGGATTCCAAGGATTACGTTGTGAGGGTGGTATTTGTAGAGAGAAATGTCTCAATGGTGGTAAATGTGATCAAAAAGATACATGTACCTGTTCTAGAGGTTATTACGGTCCACGATGTGAGTATTCAAAATGTTTAATTCCATGTTTAAATGGAGGACGTTGTATTGGAGTTGATAAATGTCGTTGTCGCAAGGGATTTGCAGGTTTACAGTGTGAAATAATTTTAAATCAGCGAGATACTGAACATACTAGGAAAAAGAAAAAGTCAGATAAAAGGAAATTTGTTTAACCTCTGTCAAAATTTTGAAAACCCAATCTTGAGACAGACCTTCTTTCATTGTTATTGCAAAATGCTATCAAAACGTATCCGAAAATTTTTATATAAAGCAATTTTTATTGGAATAAAATTTGAAAAAAAATTAATATTAGTTGTTTAATTCAATACTAGTCTCGTTGATCCTTTTTTGTATTTCAAATTTTCTGATCAGCTCATGCTGAAGGTAAAATTACATTTCTTGAATACAATTAAAGAGCTTGAATTGAGAATATTATCGAATAGTAACTTTATTAAAACCAATGTTTGTAATTATGACAAAAACGCAAGTTGAGTATTTGTCATACAATTGAACAACAACGACAATATCTTTGTCTTCCAACTCCTTGCGAGGGTGGAGGGGTGGTTGGGGCAAAATAAGCATGAACTTTGAGATCAGGCAAATGGCTCTGTAAAAGAAATGAGAAGAACAATGAAAAGACATTAAGATATGATTTAGATAACTGGACTAATATAAGATAAGAGAGAGAAAAAGGTTTTTGTTGTGAGACGCATTAATTACCTTAAGTCGACGTATTCCAGCTCGAGTGATTAATTGACAATCATATAATTCAATTCTCTGAAGTTTATTACAAGCCGCAAGATGATCTAATGAAGAATCAGTGATGAGAGGACAATTATCCAAATCCAGGGAAACAAGGACATCACAGGCACAGGCACTAGAGCTGAGATGCCTGATACCGTCATCAGTGATAAGTTCACAGTGAGAAAGACTCTGTTAGGAAAAGCAATAAGTTAGAGAGCAATTAAAATAATGAAAACGATCTAAACATCAATATTTTAACAAACAGAAATTGTAAATCGAGAAGTGAAGGAACAATAAATTTACCAATTTTTGGAGCTTTGGGCATCCCATTGATAAATATGCCAAGGCATTGTCGGTAATCAGCGTGTTCTCTTCAAGGTCAAGATTTTCTAGGTAACGACAATTTCGCGCTAATGCTTGATAACCAGCATCCGTGAAATGTGAACAGCGAGCAACCTCAAGAGTGCGAAGTTTGTGGCATCGTTGCCCTAAGGCAACCAGTGAATTGTCCGTCAAATGGGTACAATTAGATAAACAAATGTATTTCATATTATGACAATTTTCAGCTAAACTGATGATTGCTTCGTCGGTGATCAAGCAGCAAGCTTTTAAATTAACAACTTCTAAGTTAGGACAATGTTTCGCCAGTCTACTAATAGCTTCATCATTGATCTTATAGCATAATATTGCAATGAAGGCACGAAGCTTTGGACATCCTTGTGCAATACAGACAACTCCAAACGGTGTTACCTTTTCACAATACGAAATGTCAAGTTTCTCCAGGTGAGGACAACCCTCTCTGTAAATTAATAAAAAAGTACAAAATTTAAATTACAAAGATGCGAAATCAATGGGATAGAATCAGGGAAAATCATCATCATTAATCAATAGTATTTCAAATTTACTCAGCTTACAGCTTAAACTACTAATATCCTAAAAATTTTCTAGATTCCTGAAATTCATTATAATTTTAACGATCCTAGCTAATTGTTTGAATTTTGCTTTCCTTCTTTATCTTTTCGTCTGATACAGTCCCACGAAAACTGTTTAAGCACGCAACATAACAAAGAAAGAAGAGAGAGAAAGAGAGAAAAATAAAGAAAGAAAGGGATAAAGATGATTAAGATAATATTATAAAATAGCGTTGTTGATGTTTTTGTTGTTTTGATGGTGATGATGATGATAATAATGATGAATAGCAAAAAGACAGTGAAAGGTGGGAAAAAGAGAGTTACATGAAACAGGAAGATAAAGAAAGGTAAGAAAGCGAGTAGGAGTGAAGTGAAGGAAGACGATTTTGGATGGAAACAGCAAGAAGTTATTTACCCGAGAGCCTCCAAGGATCGGTCAGTAATCTCTATACAGGACCCAATATTCAAGCTAGTCAGCTTTGAACAGTGTTTACTAAGGCTGGCACAAGTGCTATAAAAGATAGAAAATAAGATAAAATGGAGATTTACTAAATATTGAACTAATAATGGAAGAGAAGAAGATGAGATAAGGATTGAGCTTTGTTCATGACACTGAATATAGTCAATCTAAAACAATAAGGTAAGAAATGGATGAACGGAAAAAAGATAAGGGCATGATAATTACATACCTATCGGTAAGGTATTTACAGTCATTGAGATTGAGATCTTCAATATTGTTACAATTCTGAGCGAACGTCCGAAGAGCTGAATCGGTAACAGCTTTGCAGCCTCGTAAGCTGAGTTCTTTGAGAAAACCTCCACATCTTAATGATATATTTTCAACAACCGGACCCTCAATGTCAGTTTGGAAATTAAAAAGATCGACCTTTTGCCAATTACTGCCATCAAGAGCTAAGACATTCCAAGACTTTAAATTGACAGCAAATAAAGATAGAAAAAAATAACATTGATAAATGAAATAAACAAAAAGCTTTGTGATAATGACATTAGATAGTGATGATTATAAACAAAAGAATTATTAACAATGAAACAAATGGCCAAAAAGGTCATTGACCGTAAACTTGGTACTTCCATTGGGGTTATCCTTGCGATGAATATTTGAAATGAAATTTTTTTTAAGAATCTCCTGATCCATGAATAAATTAAGTTTATATTATTACCTTTGATACTTGGGCACAACGACAAAGTGATATGACATCCAAATATGAGAATATACGAAGTAACAGCTCTTTGTGAAGTTTACGATTAATCAGAGCCTCGTCTTCGTTATTATTACTCCTGAAGATCTGATAGTTTGAAGAATTGACAGAGAAACAAGATGGTTGAAAGTAGAGAAAATGATTAATTCAGAGAGAAAGAAAGAGAAATCTGATAAAAACATTAGAGATTGGACTTGAGTGGTTACAAAGTGAAGATGGACAAGAAACATTTTAAATAGAAATCGAGAGAAAGAGGACGATATTTTGATTGAATAATGATGATATAATGAAAAAATAAAACAAAACAATGGAAAAGAGTTAAATGGCAGAACAAAGAGAGACAAGGAAAGAGAAGAGAAAGAGAGAGGAAGAGAGCTAACGAAGGAAAAGTAGAAAGGGATTCTAATATTGAAAATGAAAACAAAAATCAAAACATTGACATTACCTTCGTCATCACCATCGGACCAGCGATTCTAGAATAGACCTGATACCAGATCAAGCTTGATTATTTCCTAGCGAAAACAACACATAAAATTAAAAAAAAGTTTATGCCAAAGTAATTAAGCATAATCATGGTTTCTTTTGATAAATTTTACTCCTCTTGTTATTTTACTCGAGAGAGACTGAAGCTTTAGTTAAATGGAAATAAAGATCTGAAGTGACTGATGCAAGCAAAACAACCAACCTACAGATGGAGCTATGAGAAAACAAAAGATCATATGTTTAAATTTTTTTCAATCCTTTTCATGATTGAGAATTTGATTTTTCAGTTTTGACGTTTTGAACAGTTTTGATTAGTTTTGATTCAATTAACCATCATCAGCATCAGCATCATTTTTTTCCTTATTAAATTTCGTTTAAACCTGACCTTGATTGGAATTGTGATGCATCAACAACAATTTGATGTTGAGAAATTTCAAAGTAACGTTTGTTGTAAACAAAAAAGTATTATTATACCAATTCAATGAATATAACTTGATCTAGTTAAGGTGGTTTTATTGTCATTTGTTTGGTCTGTAGTGTTGAACTATCATTTCTAATTGTAAATCGAATGATATTTGACGGTTAAAATGTCAATTCAATATTTCGCCCTTCAATCTGGTTAACATCATTAGATTGATGACCTAATTGTAAACTTTCTGGATTATCCATTTCGGATTTTTTTGCATGGCATATGTAATAAATTTCTATGGTGAGTATTTTTTCTGGTTCTCTAGTAATTTTCCAAATCTAATAAAGGTTAATATCTTATATCTTTTTTACTAAATGCCAGTTGGATTCAATCAAATGGATTATCGATGTTTTCTTGAATTTTACGATTGGATTAATTAGCTGAAAACATGGCGACGATTAACGACATGAATAATCACTTGGAAATTTTCTTATTTCTGTTTGGACTAAATAAGCTTAGTGTGGAATCCTTTCAGAACTATTTGCTCGGATCATGAATACTGTCAATGATTTTGCTGGGTCAATCACGATGTATCCTCCATGGAAAAATATTGGCAAATAATCGGCTAAATAGTGGCTGAATCAGCGTATAGCTGAAAGATAAATGCTGAACCGGTTAACTGTTACACTTTTTGTATGTACTTTTGAAGTCCAAGTATCTCAAAGTTTCAAAAATATTCAATCGTAAGTTGATTTCTAAATATTGCTATTTTTCCTTGCAACCTGACGAAAAAAGTCTAAAAATTTACATTATTTTTTCTCCCTCATTTCCATCAGACCGTATTTTATTTTTCTTATAAACGCTCAAATACCTGGACTCCATTTGGCTATTTCAAAACCTCTAATTCCAACACATTTGTATTTCGATTTGGTATTATCGCTCATCATCTGGTTTAATTACTATCATCTACAATCAACTTTGTGATACAAGCAATTTGCTTTTGTTCAACTGCGTAAAAAAGATTATAAAAAGCATATTATTACTCTATGGAACTCTATATTACTCTATACTATTACTTATGGAACTGACGAATGGATATGGCATTTCTTTTTTTCTCGCTAGATTTGTGAAAACTCTGGTTGTGCTTTTTACATGATGTATTTCCGTTTAAGTTAACGATGAGCAGTACAAATCAAAGAAATCAAATGAGAACACACAAAATTGTTTATCATTTTTTTATGGTTTTGTTCTTACGATTATGCTATGTAATTGCCTGTGTAAAGGGATTCATCACAATCTCAGTCATTCTAGCTAAATCTTTCAATTTTTTATAAGAATGATTGGATTCCCAGACGAAATATTCAGCTAATTAGTCTTATATTTCTAAAAAATCATGCGTAATATATTAATCATCTAAACCATTTGAATTGACTACTGTAGAGGAAACGCATCAACCATCATTTGATAAGATAGCCTTTTTTTAAAAAAAATCGGGACGTCAATGGAAAAACGGAAAAAATCTCTTGTCTAATTACAGACTGAAATGAATGTTCATTTTATTTTGAACTTCCACCAGATGATGATAAAAAAATGATTCAAATGACTGTTTTAGTGATTATTGGATGCAATGAGCAAAGAAAAAAAATTACCAATGTAGATTAATTTTAATTAATAATACAGTCAAAGAAAATGAGTTTTATCAAAACAGAATTATCTTTGCGCATATTGACAAGTCATAAATTCGTGAATAAGAGACAATTGTAAACAATTGTCCCCGTAGATTCATTATTAATGGTGATGACCGGACAAAATTTTCAATTGATCATATTTACAATTTTTCAATATTCTGTTGACTTGTCAATAGGCACTAGATAATTTTTTTACGTCCAAACTCATTCTCTTAAGCGGTATTATACATTAGAAATTCAACATTTACTCCAGCGATCCTCAATAATCTAATAAATCTCTCAATTAAATTTTTAGAATCTCCAATTTCCTTTGGTTTCATACTTTAAGTTGAGGGAATGATAATGTAGGCAATGAGAATTAATGATTCCAACTGCTGTTATAACAAGGATTGTGAAAATTAAGCCTAAATTATGCTCACCAATCACATCTAAATTGACTTTAAATCACTTATTTTAGCTTAATTATCAACTGAATAAACAAGAAAAAATAAAATTGCAATAAGCTTTCTTTTTGAATTTTTCACTCTTCTGATTTGACTCATTCATTCCCCACAACTCATCTGTTGTTCCCTTTACTTGTAGTCTCCTTTTTTTTGTTGTCTCTTGTGATTTCAAGTAATTCCATCTTTCCAGAAAACAACAATCAGTGAAGATGGAATTTGTTTTAACTAAAATTAATCATCAACCTTTAAATTGGTTTTACAAGTGAATAGGTTTATAATTAGCTAAATTGTATTGTTAAATTGTCTGAGGTAAGTTGCAAAATACATTTCAATAAATCTTATCCTCCACCCAAAAACATACACATTACGCATACAGTTTACAACATACAACATATAAAATAAATGTATATTCCCTTTTTTTCTCCTATTTATTCATAATTTATTGCATTTAATTGATTAAAATCCTATTTTCTTTTTTGTCTATGTTAACTATTCTACTATCTCATATGTTTTTGTCATCCAACCATCAACAATCATTATCATTTATCTGGCAACCTGATGCTGTTTGATCTCCAATTGATGAAGCGTGTTCCTTTTTTATATTGCTTTGTGTACAACTCATCCCGTTCGTATTACATGGTGATCATTTTGTGTGTATAACTAACATCAGTCATTAATTATTAAGAGTAAAAAATTATCTTCCATCAAGCTACCACCGAAGAGCCAATTGGAAAACCATGATTGCTGTGTTAATCATGGATCTGTTGATGCATTTAAACCTTGTATATAAAATAGACTAATGAAATAAGGTCGATTCTATGGTATTCATCAATCAACAATCGTTAATCAAGGCTAGAAAGGATAAATTTAATGGTGAGTTATCTCTTCCTCTTTATTTCATTTCCCTCCCTCGTGAAGAGAGAAAGAGAGCAATGAAAAATACGATTTTCTAACTCTCTTTCCTTTCTTTCCTTTTTCATTTTTCCCCTTACTTTCTTTCTTCTTTGTTTCTCTCTTTCTCTATCTCTTTCTCTTCAAACTTCCTTCGCTTGTGAGAGATTTGAAAAGTGATTTCAAACCAAAACACACACAAAATCTCTAATCTGCCGTTGAGTATGAGTAACATAAACGTTTTAAATTATTTTCGTTTTTTATTTTTTTCTGTATTTTCACTTGATTCACCTCATCAGTGATTATTTTACGTCTTCTCTGTATTAATGTCTCTCACCATGCGTCTACTTTTGTTTACCCCACATATGTATTACAGGTTTACTATATTGGATCAAACATTGAACATCAAACTTGTCTCGCTCTCAGAAATGTACACAATTATCTCAACAATGGTTTTAATGACAAACCAAAGTTTATTTAGATTTTAGTTTTGTGCCATAATTCTCAATCGTCATCGTATCTCAATCTCATCCTGAGAAATTTTTTTCCATCAAACAACTTTCATCACAACTCACGTGTTCTCCACTTATTGGTAACAACTCTGAAATAAAGAAACATAAATTAAAAAACTGTGCTAAAGTGAATCATTGTGTACTCCAACAATGCTCCATCTACGAAAAAAAGAAAACTTCTCTAATTATTAGACTAGATAATTCCAGCTTCAATTATTGTGATCTCAATTTTTGCTGTAAAACAAAAAGAAAGCAAGAAACGTGAAACATGAGTGTAAACTCTGTATTTCGAGAAAGGATTCCCCGTGCAATTGAGGAGATGGAGGAAAAGTTAGAACAATTTATTAATGACAACAGAGAGTTAATTCCTGAGTTGGTTAATGATGCAGTTACGAGTTTTGTACATCATCAAGTTATTGAGATGGCTAAAGATTGTCTACAGAAATCTAAAGAGAAACAGCTTGTCTCTCAGCATTTTTATGAAATGTCAGAGAATCTTGAAAGATTAATGCAAGAGGTGTGTAGATTACTTTAATTCACTTTATTCATTAGTAAAGATCGCAACGAATCTATTAACTATCATGTTGTTTTTACAGTGCCAAGAGAAGTCAAATATTGCTGCACACCATCTCAAGAAATTGATTCGTAAACTCATGGTCATTGTTTCTAGACCAGCTCGCCTTCTTGAATTTTTGGTAATGACCATTCATTGTAGTTCTTTCGTTATATTTTTGTATTTACTCTGTACTCAAGTTACTTATGAGTGTTCTTCGCTTTTTATCCTTGTTTCACAGAAAAATGAATCTGAACATAAATCCGAACGACCTGTAGAAACCGATGGTACTCGGTCTAAGACATTAATGGAACTAAAGCAACAACTCCCTTCTTATATTGGAACCAAATTGGGTATAAACAGAAATTCATTTTTAAGTAAGTAATCTCATTTTACGGTTATATTTTATTCTGAATCAATCTAATTTTTTCTATTGTTTTTTTTGTCTTCTCGTTTATAGATCTTGTAAATGATAATGATGGTGAAAATGATCAAGATGACGATGATAAAGATAACGAAAACCGTAAATCTGAAAAAGAAGTCGTTTTTGAATCTCCAGTGAAGCAACCCTGCGAAGAAGACTACGAAACAATTAAATTAATTAGCAATGGGGCTTATGGGTAAGATTGCAACTTCAATTGTTAATTATACAATACTTATACATATTCATTGCACCGTAATTAGCCTCTAATATTCTTTGGCTTTATTATCTTTTATAGAGGGGTCTATTTGGTTCGTCATAAGGAAAGTCGTCAAAAATTTGCCATGAAAAAGATTGACAAACAAAGCTTAATCTTACGCAATCAAGTTGAGCAAGCTTTTGCTGAAAGGGACATCATGAGTTTTACAGACAATCCATTTGTTGTTAGTTTATATTGTAGCTTTGAAACTAAGGTAAACATATCTTAATATAAAACTTAATAACGTAAAATGCTAAGTCAACTATTCTGATAGAAATGTTTTTATTTACTCTTCTCCCTTTCTTTGCTCTCACAGCGATATCTCTGTCTTGTTATGGAATATGTTGAAGGAGGTGATTTGGCGACTCTTCTCAAGAACATGGGACCTCTGCCAGTTGATCTAGCTAGGTTTTATTTCGCTGAGACTGTACTTGCTGTTGAATATCTTCATAGTTATGGAATAGTTCATCGAGATCTTAAGCCAGAAAATCTTCTCATCACAGCCTTGGGTCACATCAAGTTAACTGACTTTGGATTATCTAAGATTGGTTTAATGAACTTAGCAACCAATATTTGTGAAGAGCATTTAAGTAAAAAAGATACGAAAGAATTTCTCGATAAACAAGTCTGTGGAACTCCAGAATATATTGCTCCTGAGGTAATATCCCGTCAAGGTTACGGTAAACCTGTTGATTGGTGGTCTATGGGCATTATATTGTACGAATTACTCATCGGTTGTGTACCATTTTTCGGTGAAACTCCTGAAGAGCTTTTTGCTCATGTGATAAATGATGAGATTACATGGCCAGACGAGGAAGATTGGTCTTTACCAGAGGATGCAAAAGATTTAATCTCAAAACTTTTAAAGCAACATCCCATCGAAAGATTAGGAACTGTAGGTGCTCATGAGGTTAAAGAACATTCATTCTTTGATGGTATCAATTGGGATGATTTACTTCGCCAAAAGGCTGAATTTGTGCCTCAATTGGATAATGATGAAGACACTAGTTACTTTGATACCCGACTTGATAGGTATAATCACGAGATCGATGATTCAGAGGAACAAGATGATACTGACGAAAGCTCAAGTTCGATGTTCAGCAGTTTTTCTTCGTGTTCACCTAAATACCACCGAGTTTATTCTCGAATAGAGCAAGAGTTGGCTCAAGAAAAGCTGATGAAGTCATCTTCAACTTCCTCTATTTTGGATGAAAATGTTCAAACTCCTTGTTTAAATGAATCCTTACCACCAATTTTGAATGGTTCAGTAGCAAGTGAAGTACAAGTGTCATCAGAGAAACGTGAATCTAATGAAGTTAAATCAACGGAAAGTTTAACCGCATCTGAAGATAATGAATCAACTGTTGATTTAGAAAAACCTCAAGCCCTGCAACACAGCACGCCTGAATTATCTCAAACTGAGTCAGAAGACTTTTCTCCTAAAGTTACTAGAAGAAGGAAACCATTCATGAATATAAAATTATCATGTATACCACGGTTTTCCATCAGTGGTGATAGTGATGACAGAAAAAATGATTCTAAAATCAATGAATCCAAACAGAATGAGTCTAATAATCAGGTTAAATCATCTTCAAAGGAAACTAATGAAGGAAAAGACTGTACTGATAGTGGTACAAGTGTTGGTGCAAATGGAAGCTCTGGTAGCAGTAATAGTAGTAATAGTAGTCAAAAACCGTCAAAATCTCAAATCCCTAGATCATCTCATTTCCCTGTACAGTTAAATGCGTTAAAAAATAATACCAAAGGAAGAGCTGTGATTAAATCAGCCTCAGCTACGGGCCTCTCTCTCATGATACCAACAGAGGATGTTAAGAATAAAGCTTGTTCTATCACTTCATCGGGGGGTTCAAGTACCAGTTCCCGTGATACCTCACCCAATCGTGAGCTTGCTGGTCCTTTGGGCCATTCACTAAAGCCACCGATAATTATCCGTAAAGGTCCAAGAGGATTTGGCTTTACTTTAAGGGCAATCAGAGTGTATTACGGTGATTCCGATCTTTATACTGTTCATCATCTGGTACTTGCCGTTGAAAACAATAGTCCCGCATTTGAAGCTGGACTCAGACCAAACGCTTTGATTACTCATATCAATGGTGAACCTATTCAAGGTCTCCTTCATCATCAGGTTCTTCAGCTTGTTCTTTCAGGTGGTGATAAGATAAATATAAGAACAACTCCACTGGAAAATACATCAATCAAAACTGGAGGTCGTCGTCGACATCCATCTTCAGGTCGTATGACTCGCCGTCCTAATTTGATGAGTCATAAAAAAAATGCTCCTATTAAAAGGACTGATTCTGATAAACGTCGACGTTCATCGCTTTTACGCAAATTAAGCTCCAAACGGGCCAGTGCTGAAATTCAACAATTAATGGCATGTGGTGGAGCTGGTGCCTCTGGTGTTACAGGTGGCATATCCCCTCCATTACTTACTCCTAGTCGAAGCTATCAATCATTAAATCGTGCATCTGGTAATAATATCACTTCTCATGATGGAACTGTTGATTTACCTCCAACCGCGTCCTCAACAGCAACCCCAACTTCCTCATCTGCTATACCTCGCTTTCCAAGATCTCCTCCACCTAATCGTCTTCACTGTTCTCCATCCGATTCATCGGCTGCCAATTCTTCTCAAAGCAGCTCACCAAGCTCAAGTGTACCTAATTCACCGGCATCATTAAGTCATTTTCCCCATTTTCCTCGTCCCAGCACATTATCTGGTCTAAAACAGCACAAACAAGTTAAATCATTTCGGTCACCACGCCGTAAATCATGTGGTCACATACCTTTATCACCTCTTGCACGCACACCGTCACCATCCATCCAACCTGTTTCCACCAGCTCACCCACTCGTTCAAATTGTTCATCATCAGCTTTTCCAGGAGTCCATCAGGTTGGCTCCTCATCGACAATCCAGTCGTTTATTGTTCACAAAAATAAATTAACTGACTCATCATCCACTACAACCCCTACTCAACCACCACCTACACCAACATTGTCACCCTGCATTACTGCATCAGGTTCCAAATGCTTCTCAAGACCTAAAAGCGCTGAACCAAGTTCACCGTTGCTGAGAAGAGCGTTATCTCCAGATCGTTTATTGATTAAACGTAACACTGATCCAAATAAGGCTTCTGGTACAATGAAACACAAAAGGCATTCCTTAGGAGGTCCAGTCTCCTCACCTTTAGCGATATCCTCCTTACCACCGTCTAACCCAACTAAATTCAGTCAAAATGTGAATACGAAAAATACTTGATCATTCATTCAATTACAAGTTCAATCGATCAGATAAACACTTTTTTAATCATAAAGAGATCAAACTCGTATTTTGAACTGTAAGTTAAAGTAGGGGTGAGATACTAGGAAAGGATTCTCTTGGTTTCATAATAAGTTAATCGATATCATTGATTGAAAATTTGATTGGAATAAAACCTGATCACTTGTAACTGGTTCTTTTTTTGTTGTATAATATTGGATACAATCATCAACGTGCTCCGATAAAATTGAATTAATCAAAACTATTTCTGTGATGATCAGAAACAGCTAAATAAATAATTGTTTACTTCATCAAGAAATTGAATCTTCTCTTATTATTACAGAAATTCCGAAATCGTAATATGCTGACGGCTTTGAAACAAATAACAGAATTCGTACAATAATTTGATTTAAACCATTTTTAATCATTATAATTGGATAGAAACTCGGATATTTTATTGAATACTGGTTATTTCAACAATTCCATTATTTAAACTGGCTATTTTTTGGTGCTAAACTTGAGCTATATTACCTCATTTCGATGCTCTCGAAACCTGGTCTATTAGCTACTTAAATCGGCGGACATTTTTTATTTTAAAGTTCGCATTAATTTCTTATTCTAATAAAGCTTTGTGCAAAAATATTGGGTATTCAACATAAAAAATTGTAGCTTCGAAATTAAAAGATCACTCATAACTTACGGCGCTAATTTCTTTAGACATAATTTAGTTTCATATTTTATTTATTGAAGATTAATTAAACCCGATTTCTATGTTATGATTGTGCTTGAACTTAAAAACAAATTAACAACCTGATCAACACATTCAAATGAATTTTCCCAATACTTTTGCACTAAGCTTTACATAAAAACTGGATCGTTTGAGTGATTAAATGTATTCTCTATTTCTGAATGTTGGCGGATCTTATTCCAATCAAATCTATTGAATATTAAGGAAATTGAGTACAGATGAGAGATGTTTGGTTTAAAGATAATTAAACATGAAGTAACCTGGTTTTTTGAGTCTTAATGAAAATTCGTCACTCTCAAGTTTGTTGACTTCAACATCTATTATAAAGTATATTTTACCATTAGTAATGAAAAAATTTTGTTCAACGAGATTCCATTAACAATAGCAATATTTAGAATGAAGCATGACACACAGAATGGTCCAGATTTAGCGTATTTGTCCTCAAATAAGGATCAAATAGAAATAAGTCGACATCATCCAAGCTGTGCAATCAAAGTTATCTTTACTATCTTCTATCAGAATTCAGAGAAGCACGATTAGATTGACAAGAGTCATTCTGATACTATAGACGGATATTATTTTGATTTGTTTTCAATTTCAAATGCGAAAAATGATGTTAAAGATAGACAATCAATAAATCTTAATGATAAATTCGTAAAACATTATACAATGGAAAAGTTTCCAGCAATGAGATCGTGAAACAGACCATAGCAACACAATAGAGGCAACCCAACTGGTATCTATCTCAGCAAAATACATGCCAACAATTTAGAGTTAGGTTAATCAAGTTGTACTAATATTTGTAACCACAATATTAAAAAATGATAAATCTTTTGCATATTGTTTATTATTGAGTGCTGACAATACTTTATGGATGATAATTTATGGTAAATTAGATTAGGTTAGGATTAGACGAGATAGTTAGATTCGAGCAATAAATCGAGATATCGTAATCATTGTATGGAAAATTTTGGTAAATCAGACGTAAAGTTTATCTTCCGAGCGAAGCAAGTCCCAATAGTTCAGCTTAAGACTGGTTATAACATAATTTTAAGTCAAATTTAATTCAATCAACTTGGAAACATTATCGTTCAAGCCCCACAGTTAGTAAAATCGTGTTGATCCAGAGAAAACATTTTGTTTTCAATTGAATTTCTTTACAAGTCAAAGTAAAGTCTTCAAGAGACACTCTGAAAAAAGAGAAATTTTCAGAAAAATTAAAAGCATAATCGATAAATACTGTTTATTAAACAGAACTTTCAATCTTTCTCGAGCACAAAGTCTCTATTTTTCGAAATTTTAAAAAAATTCAAACGTTCGCCTATCATCATTTCAACAAGTCCCGGTTATTATTGCAACGATTTATAAAATTACAAATGAAAAAGAGTTAAAGTCAAGACAATTGAAATAAATTATCGTGGTGAAAGTCAAAAGTATTTTTTTTACTGGAACATACAACAAGTTGCGAATGGAGTGTCAAATTCCATAATATCACTTAAGTTTTTGGACTTCTTTGGTTAAGACTTCGTATGAAGATTTATTTGTGAGTTTATGATTAACCATCAGGTATACATAGGAAATATTGATTCATTTTATCACAGAAACGCTCTCGGTAGAGATCAGGAGATATGATGGTTGGCATTTTACCATGGCTACCTACTGACTTGACAACCATCTCGATTCTTTTGTCCCAAGTATAAGGTCGAATGTAATCAATTATACCAACTACTAATCTCTTCTGTTCTTGGTCGATTCCAACCAAAAGAGAATAGTCCATAACAGAGTGGGAAGATAAAAAAAGAGAGTCATTGTCAATGGCTGTTGTTAATCTTTTCTTGCAATCGGGTCTAATATAGAGTGGCGATTTCCGAATCGACTGTAACAGATTTTCATCTAGTAAAACAACGTTGGTAGGATCATCAGTATGTACCCAGCGATTACGATCAGAACCTTTGAGATCAAAGCGGCGGCTTATATTGCGTTGGTAAAACAGGTTTTCCATAACCAATAAATACATTTTGCTTGCATTATTAGTTGAACTGTTTTTAAAGCTTATCCTGAAAACGCCAAGGATTTTAGCCAACAAGGTGGGTCGGGACTCATAAAAAGCACTTAGAACATAGTCAAAATAAACTTTAGCAATTTTAAGAAAAGAGGTTAATTCCGGTCTAGACATCTCTTTCAAGATGAAACGGTCATCGATTGTTTTGCAAAAAGTAGCTCCGCTTTTACCACCTGAAGCTGTCCAAGGAATACAACGAGAAATTGACTTGATAAAAATTTCTTCAGTCAAATTATTTGATGATGCATTGGATACAGATTCAATGTTGTTAACAGATGATGAGGAATTTCTAGTATTGCTAGTATTGCTGGTATTGCTAGTGTTACTAGTATTACTTGTATTGGTAGTATTGGTAGCATTGCACATAGATTCTTCTGAAATTGATGATAAAAATGATTGAGACATTGAATGGTTAGTTTGAATCAATTCGGAACGAAGTGATCTAAAATATTCAGCGAAATAAACACAACAATAGTATTTAGTGGTGGAATCGTTGAATTGTATGTCGATATGAGGACTTATCGCGGTCGAATTGTTAGCAGCCTTGAAAGTAAATGCAACTGAAGAGAATCCTCCTGATACTTCAAGTTGTCCGTTATCTTTAACCTCCGACATGCTTGAACTTGTACTGCTTTCGATAGATAGAACTCTTTTTCTTGTCGTAGGAGCATTAGATGCACCTTGAAGTATTTCAGTTAGTTGTTTATCATAATCAGCTGAAGTCAACGCATATGCAATAATGGAGCCCGGGTCTTCTTCTTTGGCTATCACTTCTAATTTCTGCTCAGGTATAGATAATGATGTGTCTGAAAATGAGTTTTCCTTTGATGATACGGAGGTAGTATTCATTTGAATCTTCGGTAAAGGAAGTACGACTTCATATAAATTATCCTCTGGATTTAAATCTGTCTCTAGTTGTATCATTTTAACTTTTCTCTTGGGAACACAACCACCATGAGCTCGAAAGTCCGCAAGCATATCGTTCAATTCTCCAGAATTTAGATTTAATTTGAGATCCTTAGTTAAGAGAGGGTGTTGTAAAGATTTCGGTAAGTCAGTTTCTTCATCATTCTTATAATTTGGATGATCACCGCCTTCAAAATCAAATATATCTCCTAAACCAGATTTATAAGATTCTGTTTGATTACCAAACCAGTAAAACATTTTTTTGAACATTTTGTAAAAAGGTTGTTGAGAAACTTTAACCAACTCAATAAAAATTAACTCGAGTTATACTCGCAAAAGCTTATCAACTTATTAAAAATTTATTAAACATTTTAAAAGTCATATACACAAGTGCTTTTGTCAAATAACAAATTCAAAACGTAGACTTTGCTCTTCCTCTGATCTTTGATCAAAACAATCTGAAGCGCCATCTGTCAACCAACAATAAAAATGTATGGTATTTTTAAAAATTTCATCATGTTTAAATGAAATCATAATTCAATTTTGATGTTTTCTTTTTGTTAACCAATGTAATCATCTTGATTTTTTTGTGTTTTGGTCGTATATTGTCTTTTAGCAAATGTTATCAGGACGTTCAGCTAAAAAGGCTTTAATAAAACCATTACCGCCCGGTTTATTTACTAAAAGCTCATTCAAAAGAACATCTAATAATTCTTTCAGCGGTTTCGATAACCTCATTGTTGCTTCCACTCCACCCAGCAAATCCACGCCAAGGAGTTCTCTTGCTGAAAATAAGCAAGAACAATCTATAGACTCTATTGAAGATTATACAATAGTTGAAAGTGATGGAGATGACGAAGTTTTCCAAGATACAACTGAAAGACGAGTAAGCTTGAACTCTACTGTGAAAAGGTAAGGATATTTGTTTTGACATTTTATGGTTTACGTTTAATCTAATTGAATCTTTTTATCATTTTCAGGAGTTCGACATCAGCAACTAAGTTAAGCAGTCTACTTGCATCATCTCCTCTCAATTTTGTACAAAAAAGAAAAAGAAAGCCTGTGACTCCAAGTACTCCGGTGGATTCTGTCAAAAGCGGTTCATTAAAACTTGATGGAATTGATGAAAGTTCACCTGTTAAGAAAGCTAAGTGTGCTCAATTCGCTGATCAAAGTACTATTTTTATCAATAGATGGAAGCGTCTAGATAAAAAATCTCCTCATCAAAAAACTAGAGAGGTTAATATCCCGAACAATACTACTTTGGTTGATCAAATGAAAGCCCTCATTGAAAAAGAAAGGAACATTCGCACAGTTTGGCGCCATTCAGTCACGTCACAACTGAAAAATAAATTCAAGGAAACGATTAATGGAAAAGAAACATTAACCATGAGGTTATCCAACTTTATTTGTCAATTTCATGTTGGTTTTGCGAATGGTGAAATAATTGAAGCGTCTATTAAACAAAATTATAAAGTCGGAGATACTGTGTCGCTGATTTTCCCATCAATATTATGTGAAAGTATGGGATTTTCTAATGGAACTATCGTCCAGTTTGTTTCTCCATGGAGTGTCATTATGATACGAAATCAGAGGTTTATTATTAATCCTTTTTGGATTGCTGTTATCGAAAGATGCACCCTGAAGAACGAAAAAAAGAAATCTGACGATAAAGAAGAAACGCTAGTAACATGGAGCTGTCCTTGCCAAGAAAGTTTTGGAAACATTGATCCGCTTGAATGTAATCGTGCTTATTCTCAAAATGTTGGCTTTTGTTGAAGTTTATGACTGAATACTTAACAATGATCTCAAACTCATTAACTTTGATTGTTAATGAAGATATTTTTTGCTACTTTTTTTGCTCATTATAATTAGTTAATTTTCCTTAAAATTTTTGTATACTTTACTTTTTTGATAAAATTCCTTCAATAAACAAACTATATGGATCACGAAAATTCATCCAATTTTAATTTAGTCATGTTTTTAGTCTTTTATTTCTGAGTAGGCTTAAATCTAAATATTTGTATCAAAGTGTAACAATGTTACAATAGATTGGCAGTAAGTCAAACTTAAGATATTATCGAATTATGAGATTACAAATGTGAATTGTCATAATGTATATTTAAAATGAAGAAGAATAAAAGTGAAATCTGGGAACGAATAGAAAATGCATGTCATGGATTTTCAGAAAACAAAAAAATTTGTCTGGTACTATGTTACAAAATGCGTCGTAGAGCTTCTATTCACAAGGGATTGATAACAAAAATGTGATTCAACATATTAACAGTCAAGAAAAATCCACATCCAGTCTTTTGATTGGCAAATTTTTAATAAGTAGAGTCCTTTGGAAAAATATTTGGCGTCCAATAAGTCTCACCAAAACCTGTAAAATAGTGAACATAAAGTTAGAAATACAATTAAATTAATTTCAAAAAAAGGAAAGGAAGACATTTGTTAATAAAAAGTGAACAGTCAAAAAAATATTTTATGCAATTTGGTATAAAATAATTCAACCTCGCGCATACAATCTAATTTAATCCTTTGGGGATTTTGATAGTACACTTAATCACAAAATGCACAGCCATTGTTTTAATGCATCAAAAATTATATTCTCTTGGGCCATTTTTTACCTCATTTAAAAAGTTTAATGCGCGAAGTTAAAATATTTTATGCAAAACTCATTTTCTTTGACTGTGTATTAAATTAAAACAAAACGATTTTGTGAGAATAACATGCGAAAATTGGTTTGAAATAGGGTGAAAAATAATAATGAGATATTAGCTTTTGATAAAAATTCAGAAACTTAAACAGGACAGCAAAAATTGAAAATGACAAATTGACTTAACTAGTTGAAGAGTTGAAATTGGCAATAGCTTGTAAATCATCTTCTCCTGGCAAATTTTGTTTCGCTGCTTGGTTATCAGACCAATTTGCAGGAGGAGAACAATTATTTACATTGTTTGTTCCCATAGAAATTTGTGATTGGTTCATATGGTTTGAATGAGAATTAGAGTTAGAAGAGAATGGAGCCTGAACAACAGGAGCAGATTGGGATGTAAAGTTCTGTGTAGGAACCAACAAACTTTGACCAGAATGATTAGGAGGAATCACAGTGCCTTGGTGAGTGGAAACTTTTGAGTAAGATCCATCAAATGCATTCGATTTTAATATTTGCTGGTACTGAAACTCTGTGGTAAATGCATGGTCAACTATTGAAGAAACTCCACCAGAAACGGATTGTTGGTATGTGTGTTGCTGCTGTAATTGCTGCTGTTGCAATAGTTGGTGACTTGGCTGTTGTTGACATTGTTGCTGTTGCTGTTGTATTTGCTGCTGTTGTTGTAGTTGTTGCTGTAGTTGCAGTTGTTGCTGTTGTTGTTGTAGTTGTTGCTGTTGTTGTTGTAGTTGTTGCTGTTGTTGTTGTTGTTGTAGTTGTTGTTGTAGTTGTTTTTGTAGTTGTTGTTGCTGTAATTGTTGTTTTAAATGCTTTAGTAATTGCAATTTATCTTGCGGTAGTAATTGCCGTTGATCTTGCTGTTGTTGTTGTAATTGCTGTGGATGTTGTTGCTGCTGATGCTGTTGATGCTGCTGATGCTGTTGCTGTTGATGCTGTTGATGCTGTTGATGCTGTTGATGTTTTTGCTGCAAAGATAGTTGCTGAAGATATGAATTTTTTACTGATGGAGTTAAAGGCGACTGAGGTTGCTGATAATGCTGATCATGTTGATGATAAGGAGGAGGAGGGCTGGGATGTATGCGAATCTCTTGATTATTGTATTCAGGGTTGTTTACGACAACAGGAACACTTGGAGATCTATTAAAAATATTCGAATTCGCCAATTGTGGACATGCATTACAAGGGGCATTACAAGGGGCATTAATGGATTGCACTACTGGAGTTTGAGATCGACCAGAAAGTTGAACTTGGCCTGTTAAGATTATTGGCCTTCTTTGTAATGAAAGTCGGTGTTGTATCTGAATGTTCTGACCTTGCGGTTGTTGAACACCCTGAAATTGTGCTTGGTATTGCATATTTTGTGGTTGGTGCTGTTGAATAGCTTGATGTTGAGATTGCTGTATTGTTTGATATTGAACTGGCTGATTACGTTGGATTTGGGATTGCTGAGAATGTTGAGGAGTTTGTGATTGAGCAGGCTTAGTAACTATAGTTGTGCGAATCATCATTTGAGCATTAGGGTGAGGGATGTAATTAACACGAGCCTGTGGAATATTGTTTTGATGTGATACAGGGGTCCAAACACTTTGAGAAGCGGTAGAAACAACAGCTCTAGGTCCTTGATTTGTTGTATTTTCAATTTTGACAGGTTGAGGATAGCTTAAAGTTGATGCTGGATGCACTAATTGGCTTTTATAATTGGCAATATTTTGGATAACTGGCGTTTGAGCATAAGTTCTAGGTGCGGTTGACGGGGTATAATTAGATGTTACGGTCCCTGGTACAGAATTTGATGAACTCGGGGCTCTTTGCATTTGAATTTTATTGTTGACAACGGAAAGTACCCAAAGTTTTTGTGTATTTGACACGGACGGAGAAGTTAAGCCTTTATTTTGGTTGTAGATAAATTCTTTGACTCTCTCAACTGACTCCCCAACAAGATTGTATGAACCATTCTCATGTTGAACAACGTCAGCTGGATTCATTTGACTAATAAAAGTCATTAATTGATCTGGATCAATATAAGCGGTCAATATTTGTCTATTAGAAACCACTTTTTGTTGCTGAGACACAATACGAGTTTCTAATATGCATATATCATCATCATCTTCTTCAGGATTTTGTTTAGGTTGTTCGGAATTTACTTGAGTACAACAATTTTGAGAAACTGGCGATGACAATAATGATGATAATGTTGTATTTGGAGGAACTGGTAAAGGATAGGAATTCTGAGAAACTGGCGATGACAATAAAGATGATAATGTTGGATTTGAAGGAACTGGTAAATGAGATGATGGAGTTGAGTCGGCTACTGGTGAATGAACGACTGAGTTATTTGTTTTAGTTACAGTATTATTGTCCTCTTGTTGCTTCGGAAACATTTGACTTAGAACATATTCAACTGCTTTGGGTATTTTATTTAGAGGACCATCAGAAGTGCTTGCGCGCCTTTTCAGGCCATGAGAATCGGATGAAACTAAAGTTTGTCCATTCGATGATATTTGAGTAGATGGTTGAACATTTTGAGGTTGAGTAAGAGGCTCAGATGATAGATTGTATGAAGCAGATCCACCATTAATCAGGTCGTCTACATTCGAATCAATCAATGTTTGAACTTTATATTGTCCACTGGAACAAGTATTAGAAGTCGCCCTTGATTCATTTAACATCTGTCGCAAACTGGATTCAGGAGAAAGAAGAACTCGTTCGTTAGATACATTCGTATTTTGGAGAGGGATTGTTGTGGATTTTGGAGAACATATTCCAACACTTGGAACGTTATTCACTATGGTCGAGGGTGGATTAGCAGAGACGTTTTCAGTGGTGCTTAAGCTATTGATACCTTCTTGGTTTTTAGTTTGTAAGTTCGGTGAAATCTCAACTAATTGATTTTCTTTCCTAGGACTATCTTTCTCTCGTTCCTTGTCGTTTACAATAACTCCAATTGCAGCGTCCGATTTATCTGGATTTGGTGCTTGTTTATCTTCAATTGATTGTTTGTTTTCATCAGGACTAGTTTGAACATCTGCAGCTTCAGCAAGTTCTTCATTGAGTGGTGAATCATTTTCAATTGATGAGTGATCACTTTCTGGTGAGTTACCACCATTCAAAATTTTCATAGCAAGTTTCATTGCTTCCTCTGATTCAATATCAGAATAGCTAGAAAGCTCATCGTTATTCCTTGATTCAGTTGCTTTTCTAAAGGAACGCTCTTCATTTGTGATTGCCTTTATAGTCTTTGTTTCTTTATCATTTTCCGGTTCTGATTTTTCTGCTGTTTCGGGACCTTTCTTTGAAATAGAAGATGGAAGTTCGGAATCACAAGGTACCAATTTGATATTCAAATCACGTTTAATATCTCGATACCATTTGTAACGAGCATAAAATTCTTTTTCTACGTTATCTAATATGTACTCCAATTTATTTGAAGTCATCTCGTCAATCCGTTCGTGGAAGTAAACTTCAAAAACTGTAAAATTAGTAAAATAAAAAAAGTTAGGACATTGGTTTGTTTCAACGAAAACTGAAAGTCTGTGATTAAACTTACTCTCTAGATTATCATCTTTCATGTGGATCTCGTGCTCCGAAAGATGATCACGTTGATGAGCTCGTTGAACTGAAGCTCCACATAAAACACAATCTACTCTCCACCATCTAGTGTGTTGCCAATAATGTCTTTCAAAGGCGCGGAAAGATGTAAATTTATGTGCAAACTTTTTTTTACATCTAGCAACTTTGACGCAAATCGGACACTGAACCCATGGAATGGGCTTATCTATAACTTGATCTTCTTCAACCAATCGAACATTATTAAATTGTTCGTTTAAAAAATCAATGATCCAGCTATTGACATTTCTTCTTTCGAAATGATCGTCTTTGTATTCTTCAGGTTGACCACGGTGCTCTTTACGTATATGACGCTGAACGCATGACGGCAAAAGATGAAAATATTTATCATATTTACAATGATATCCAAAATTAACATGAACGCGCATATGGTGTAAGGCAAGGTTGAATTTGGTGTATTTTTTATCACAGAAGATACAAAAATAAATAGAAGAACTTCTGTCATTTTCATTCTTAGATGAAAGATATGGGAAAACGTTTGAGTCGAGTCCAATAGTTGTTTCAAGAGATTCATCTACGTCTTCATCTTCTGGTTCTGGTTCTGGTTCTGGTTCTGGTTCAGATTCTGCATCAGGAGAAGAACTCAATTCATAAATAATAGGATCGGCTTTGGCTTTGCCTTTGCTTTCAACTTTGGCTTTGGATTTGGCTTTGGCCTTATCTTTAATTGCGGCTTTAATTTTAGACTTGGTTTCGGTTTCAGTTCCTGTTTGAGATTCACTCTCACTCCCATTCGAACTTTCACATCTACTTTCCGTTTCCCTTTCCGATTCACTTTGAGATCCACTTTCCGTTCCTCCTTCCGTGTCAGCATCGAATTCGGATATTATTTCTCGTTCTTTATTGTTGACTCGTTCTGAAGCTTCATGAGTTTGTTTTGATTGTGCTTGTTGCCTTCGAATTTTTCTTTTAAACGACTTATGATGCTTTTGCTTCTTTGTTAGCATCCCTCCATTAGGTTCCCGGTATTTTTTCACAGAATTATTATTCGAGTGAGGGTCTAATTTATTAGGATTAAATATTTTCTTTTTTTGAACAATTTTATGCTGTGTAACAGAAGATTTAGAAGACGGCAGAAGTGAAGATGCAGACGATGTAGCTGGCAGCCTTGGTTCAATAGTTTTTCTACTCTGAGCTTGGTTTCGAACTTCTTCTTGTTTCCAACTTGAAAACCCAAGAATAACAGCTTTCTTCTTTAAGTTGATCATAAGGTTTGGCTTCTTTGTCGGGACCAACAATGATTTCTTAGATCCAAGTGAATTTTGAATTGATAGCTTAGAAGGCTGTTTAGATACGGCACCAGAAGATGAAGGAACGGGTTTAGATATTGCTCCATTAGCTTGATTATTCTCAGAGGATACGATATTTTCTCTGTTAGGGTGTACTTCTCTTTTGGATTTGACAAAGGTGACGAAAACTTGAAGAATACCGTGACTCTTTCCTTCTGGATGTTCTTTCTTGTAGTGTGCAATAATGTCATGTTTAGGTCCAAGAAAATCACATTTACAACATTTCAAAGAGGCAGGAGTCTTGTGCACCCGGATACAATGACCTTGAATTTGATGCTCCTTGAGATCAAAAGGAGGTGAACATAGATAACAGGTGAAAATATTACTTTGCATTTTGAAGTAAATCTTTTTATATCAACAAAAAAAAGAGAGGGAAGATGAAGTCATAGAAGCACGATGATATTCAGTAGAATCACAAAGAACGGCGAGAGACGCGAAAATAAACATATAAGCGTTCTCCAAAATATAGCTTAAAAATATCGATGAAGGGTAAGCATGTCAATTAAAAATAATCACTAAGATAATCGTTGATACAGTAAAATGAACAGTTGTTGATTTTTAAGTAGCAGTTTTATCAGAGAAAAAAACATAAACTTGGTTATCTCATTGCATCCGATGAGTGTACACAAAAGTGAAGAAGAATATATTAAAATATTGAGGCCAAAACAACTGAAAGAAATGGAAAAATAAGAATACGATGAAAAAGTTGACTTTGGTAGTTGTGAAGAATTGCATCAATTTTTTGAATCAAACTAGAATTACGATAATCTGAGACTGAGTAAGTAAATGGTTAACAGTGGTAAATATAGGATGATAAACAAGAAATGTGAGATGTAGCTAATGGTTAAGACTAGTTAAAACGAGTGAGCAAAAATGAAGGCTGCACAGTGTACACCTTAAAGTTGCATGTTTTAAAAAAGGGACTTTTCCTCTATTACTTTTTGTAACTCGCTTTTGCATGAACTTGACTTCATCGAGCTTGTGAAGATATAATTGATTCAGAATGTATAGTTTATCGTTACGCATAGATTCACACTGTCAAGCGAAAAGTTAACGATCAATGTTGATTAGGGTAAGTTCAATGATCGATTTTCCAAGATAACATTTGTTATTACATTGTATAACAAGTTGATAATGACTAACAATTGTAAGAACCTTTTTCCTGTCCACAATACAGCACCTGAATTGTAAGTGGTTGGTATCTTGTTGTTATTTAGACGAGAGGTTACTTATTCAAATCCATTTTCAAATGAATAACTTACAAGTAACTGAGTAACTTGTTAGTAAAGAACGAGGTACTAATCATGAATTCAGTTTACACTTTGTAAATAAATATTACTGAATAAACTGAATAAATAAATGGGCAATAACAAGTAATTTGATCTTACCTTTTAATCTTTCGTTTTCCTTACTCTTAACTAATTATCACGGGAGGACTTCAAATAAAATACGAAATTAAAAATTAAATTAATGTCTAACTCTGTAATTGCGCAAATCTAGACGCATTGTAATGTCTGCATGTATCTATCTGTCTATATCTGTCTGTAATATGTATCTTGTATTGCTATGCCAAAAATCTTGAAAGGTGATCTTGAAAGATAAAATAGATCTTCTTTGCCATCTAGTGTCATCAAAAGAAATTAATTGTTTCTTAAAGTCTCTTAATAAAAAATCTTAACGTTTCCAAGATTAGCTCTCATCAACCCACTCTTCACTTAAATAAGCTTAAGGCTACTTTTTACCGAAATATAACATCAAATTGATTATATCGCTGTTTCCTTGTCCGAATCCTACACCTTAATGTGCATGTGTGAAGCATGATTATATAAATTCAATGATCCAGGAAGATTTAATAAATGTATCATATTATTAAACTAATCACTGAATCATTATCTGTCTAATCTTCTGTCTGTGACACTTTGTTTACAGTAGCTAATTCTGTCATCTGTGATATATTACCTGCTCATCATTTAAAATATTCATTGTAAACATACAATTTGTAATTGCTAAATTGCTTGAACTATTATTTCAACAATCTGTCACTGAGACTGTGAGTGCAATTGCTAACTTATTTAACCTTGTAATATCCTGTGTAAAAATCAACTGATGTGTTAAAATAATGAGATTTTATTAAATTTTCCTGCGAAGAAGATATAATTAAAACGTTTCACAGGAAGACCTTGAAATAAATGACCAGTTAATATAATTTACTTTCACTAGGTGTTTGAACAGCTAAGCCATGGGTCATAGGTAACATGGGAAACTTAAAATGGCATATCACTAATTACCTCACAGTGCTTTTGTTTACCTAATTGTTGCAAAATAGCAAAGAAATTCAAGCTCAATTTAATTTTCAGTCAATGTCTAAATAACTAATGATTTAATCAACATTCAAAGAGTATCAATTTGCAATTTAAACACAGGCAATCACAAAAAGATTCAAGAGAAAACATGATGAAACATTTTAAATTATTTGCAGATGACTTAACATGGTAAATATTTAAAGGAACAGAGACAAAGATGCCAAGTTTATTTGATGGATAAAGCAAACAACTTTACCTGATTTGTAACCAATGTTGTTGATGATGGCTAATTGCTTATCCTAAGATATCCTGTGATAACTAGTGGAAGAAGCTTGAGCTTTCAAGGGACAAAGTCGAGTTAATTACGAAGCAATTAGATGCTGAGTAAAAAACTGAAGTTGGTTGATTGTCATAACACATTTTTGTTAAATATAAAATAACTTTTTCGATGCTTGCAAAGACGAAATTTCAAACACTGTTGGTGCTCGATGAATGACTAAAACCGGTTCAAGTCAAGCCTTTTAAGTAAAAAATTTGACCCTTGGTCTTTGTGCTTAGGTTTATGGGAAAGGTCATGGCCATAAACACAGCTAGGGAACCCTAGAAGAAGCTATTATAACCTTCGATTATAACCCAGGAATCCTTTGTCACTCATCAAGGCAAAAAGGGACCAAATAGGTCAAGAATAATAAAACCAGGCTCAATTTGTTTTCATATTTTTGACAATAGATGGTAAAAAAAGGAGAAAGTAATGATAAAATATTCAAGTCACATCTTTCTCACATGTGAAGGTATGTTGAACCAGCTTTACATTCACTTTACATAGAAACAATTGTCAATCAATAATTTTCTGGGATTTATTGTTTGAATAAATTTCCAAAATTCTTGGCAAATCGATTGATACAAAGCGCTTTTAAATATGCTACCTAAACCTAAACATTGTCATAGAGTTGATCATTCAGCTTGACTGTCATTGATGAAATGTTTCTTTTCAATTGCTCGTTTACCATGTAAATATGGTAATAAATGGTAGCTTTTTATTACTAATTAAATCATTATATTGACTGCATTACTTTCAATCATAAATCAATGAGTTTCTTTAGAAACTAATTTGTTTCAACTCAATCTCTTGAATTTGGATGACAATTACATGACTATGAAAGTGAACTTGACTCAACTCCATTAATTGCTACCAAGAGATATTGATTACTAACTATTAATGAATGGTGAAAGGTTCTTGTAACCTTATGCTCTTGATGCAAGTTGCAGAATCCATCAAAAGTCCCAATCAGAGTTTCTGATCTCACTTTTCAATGCTAATATTAACTTTGATTTTGTTACAAATCTTTATAATTGGCCACAAATTAGATGAAGGATCAGAGACATTCAAAGGTAATCATGAAAATCAAAATAAATGTCATCAGACTCTCACCATGGGCTAAATTTCCCTAGAAAATATTGTTATTTTTAATTTCGTCATTTGATTCTAATCATTGCATGATAATCATGGTCATATAATCAGATTATCACAATAAAATGAGACAATAAACAGCATCAACTACCAAGAAAATCAGTCAGTCAGTTGCATTAATATCAATTATCTTGTATTTGTTGTAAATCGAGTCATTTCTTGCCTTTGCTTTTGCCAAAATTTTATTGTCATAATAATGGCAATTCATCTGGCATATTGTTGTTTCCGACATTGATTATCCTTACGATAATCAAGAAAATCACCAGAATGATTATTATTACCTTGAGATGCGCATCTTTTGTATCTAATGTAAGGCAAAAGTCTTGAGTTATAAGTAAGCTTGATTTGATTTGGATATTCATTTCAATTTAGCGACAGATTGGAACTTTTGATCAAATCAAGATCACTCATAAGATTGTTAGTCTTGATCATCTTTAAAATCATCAAAATGAACAAATTGATTCTGTTTAGTTTGTGCTTTTCCCTTGGATTTGCTTCATTAGGTATGTATTATTAGACCATATTGTATTGATTTGGTTGTTTCTCATGATTGACTTTGATTCTTTAGATGCTTCGGACATGGTTTGTGAGATAAAATGTTTATTTGAATGCATATCGGAACCTGTGCCTTGTAAAACTGCCAACTGTCCTTGTCCTGCTTCCAATTCAACGGGTAGTTCAGCAGCAACTCTGACCTCTGATGAAAAATCGAGCACCAATTCAAGTGAATCTTTAATAGCTGAGGCGAAATCTGACGATTCAGATTCAATATTTTCTCTTAAAACATTGTCATCTTTGTTTAGTAGCTTTGGATCGAGCAAAAATGTTCAGGCAAATGAAACATCTGGTGCAGATGGGTCATCTTACGACTACAGTCAACATACTCAGAGTAACAATCAAACCAAATCATCAGGTACCTTTGATTACAGTCAATACACTTCTGATGGATCACCTTCACTCCAAAAGACTGCATCAACCAACAAAAGCTCAGAAGCTAATTCATCGGGTAGTTTCGACTACAGTGCCTACAATACTGAACCAGCGACAATTCCTCCCAATCCAACTGGAAGCTACAATTACAGCACTTATTACGAACAGCCAAAGACCATTCCAAAAGGCGGCGCAAAATAATCGTGATAATAAAACCTTGAAAAATCCAGTTTAACTTGAAGTGGCTAGTCTAGACTCAGGAAGTCTTAAGGGCAAAACAATAACAGTTCATTTAATCTGAATTAATATATTTGTTTCTTATCTGAGTTTGTGAGTAATTTTTGTAGGGTTCAAGGTTTAACTGAGCATTTTGTAAAACAATTAAAATTATTTTAATTATTTTCATCCTTTATGTAAAAGCCAACCTCAACTATCATTGAAAATGAAATTGTATCAAAGTTGTAATTAAAGAGCAGACAAACTGAATTATAAAATAAAGATACATTGAGTTTAAGCATTTAAGTTACTTTGAAACTCTTTTCGTATAAAACTGTTTCTTTTTCAAGGTGATCTACACTTGTGAATGATTAAGTGACAGAACAGCAAAAATGAAGTTCTGGTTCAATTATCTTGTGAATAGAGAGTCGACTGTAAATGAGTGTACAGTTAGTTTGATTGTGTCCATCAAAAACTTCTCGAACTTTCCTTAGTCACAATGTTTTGAAGCTTGTATTAGCTGCTAATTTAACCTTTGAAAGCAGGTTGTGAATTGGTCTAAAATTCAATCATCAAGTCATCAATCTTCATGTTCATTGAAAATTTAATGATATTGTTGGAGTTACAATATGAAACAATATGTTGGTGATGTATTTTTTATTCAAGATTGGGTCCATTCAGTTACATCGTTTGTAATTGTCAGATCTATTGATTGAAGCCTTTGTGTGAAACAACATTTATCAATATTTGACAAGTTCCTAGTCGCGTGGTTCCTATTGATTTTTCAGATGAGTCATATAGCCATTGGATTAAATTAAGATGGCTTATCAAATTGTTCAAGTCTATCCGAATTTTGTTCTGGATTTACCAGTAAAACCAAAGTCTTTTTCAAACTTGTGTATGAACTTTGAACTGACTCTCGGTGCAGCAGTAGACTGACTTCATTTTGTTGATGGCCATTTGTCGTTTTTACGACTTTTGCAACTGCGTTGAACTTCGACCCAAGATCCTTATTTTTCGAAAGTTCCCTGCGTGTGCTCTGCCGATTGGCAATAAAATTTTCTGGTTTAATAGCTGAACAAAACTGGTGTTATCTTTTGCTCATATGGAAACCAAACTGTGTCCAATATGCGTACCATTATTAGCTTTGAGAAAGATTTCTTATTAACCGAATTTTTGAATGAACAAGAATTGAAGTTGAATATGGTCTTTGCTTAGATGAAAACCATTATCTCGTCAAAATGAAAAAAAACAGAAGCATAAACAAGATGACAATCAAAATAAATTACCATTGACAGTTAAATGAGCAGTTGAATAAACTTGATAGCAGGTTAACTCCTACATCTTGATTCAATGTTGAAAAACCTATTTATTGAGTATAATTACAGGTAATTGATATGACAGTTATATGCGCACGGACAAAGCTCGATTTATTTGAAAATCTTACATAAAGAAAGTTGAAAACTAAAAGCACAATTGGTCAACCTTTGAACAATAATTTTCACTCTTTTATATAAGATTTTTTTATGTTATTAGCGAGATTAGGTTGAGTTTTAAGGTGTTGTGTTTAATAAGGTGTAAGTAGTCGCTAACCAGAATGTGGGTAAAGATGAAGATAGTTATTAATGTCCATATGAACCATGCGATCTTAGTTTTTTTTCAACTTCTTCATCACCTTTTTATCAACATTTCGGGAAGTGGTTACTAGCACCTTATTGAACGCCCTTAACTTCATTCACCTTTCTTGTATCTTACGGTGTCTTGTTTCCTTACACCTTTGAATTGATGTAATAATTGCGGAAAATATTTTCTATCCAATTAATGTTAGAATCACCTGTAAATATAAACAATGTTCAATGAATAATCTTGCGTTACTTTTGCTGTTACTATGGCTGCGAAAGAAAAAAGTTCAACAAATAAAATAATGTAAGATATGAAAAAACTACATCTGTTAATCAAAGATAATATTGATACCAGCGAGATTTTTTGGACAAATTCAAAGTAAAGGGTGTTCGGTAAGGTGCTAGTGACCGCTTCCCGAAAGGGGATTGTCGAGAGTGGCGTTGAAGGCGTGGACGCTTGGCACTG